CACGCTTCTTTGCAGAGCAGGCCAAGCTCTCTCTTTAGAGGGGGTTTCCGAAATGGATTCTATTCTACCTGAGAGGCTCCTAGCACTCGTCCGTCCAGGAAACGACCTTGTCCTGCGAAGGATTCGAAGTCTAAAACGCTGCGTGCAGGCGTGTGGCTGCAACATAACGACCCCTAGATATGCGCAGTCACATTTGCCTTGTAGCTGCGTTTCTGCAGGCGAGCAGGCTTTTTGGCTGGCTGGCTTTTTGGCTGGCTGGCTTTTTGGCTGGCTTCTGGCTATCAAAAAAAGAGGCTGGATGGCTTTCTGGCTGGCTTCTGGCTGGCTGGTTTGGCTTGGCTTCTGGCTGGCTTTCTGGCCGGTCGGCTGGCTTCTGGCTATCAAAAAAAGGGTTGGCTGGCTTTCTGGCTGGCTGGCTGGTTTGGCTTGGCTTCTGGCTGGCTTTCTGGCTGGTTTGGCTGGGTTTTGGCTGGCTTGGACCCTTTTTTTTAGCTCGCCTTGCAGAAACGCAGCTACGAGGCAAATTGCAAGCATATCTAGGGGTCGTTATGTTGCAGCCACACGCCTGCGCGCAGCGTTTTAGACTTCGAACCCTTCGCAGGACAAGGTCGTTTCCTGGACGGACAAGTGCTAGGAGCCTCTCAGGTAGAATAGAATCCATTTGGGAAACCCCCTCTAAAGAGAGAGCAACGTATACTACACTTCTTTCTTGTACATCTACCTGTGCTTCATATTGTGAGTGTACGATATGTACGCACGTTTCCGCCGGCTGGTACACAATTTGGAGAGGCGCTCAGAACCCTCATGAACGCTGGGAAGATGAGAATGCTGAGATAAAATTGCACAAGTGTACAACTGAAGACTCTTTGCAGTTTTCATTAGACTTGACTCCGTTCGGGCTTCTTCACTGGCAGGCGTACGTCAAGCGCGCCCGCCAGCCCGGCCAGGCGTCAGCCTGGGCTATCTGCGCCGCACGCATGTCACATGTGCGTTGCCGGACAGGTTGTGATCCGTGGGTCAGCCAACCCGGCGACAAGGTTGGCTAAGGCGCTGCAACTTCAATGTTGTTCACCCTACTTGGATGCTTGTCAGGCCCTAGCTACGATGCCATTGCCAGACGAGGCCTTTGCGCGGCGACGGTGAAGACTCCTTGCCCGCGGAATCCGAGGACTTTTGTGCTTGCCCACGCTTGTATGCATTGCGTTGCACTGAGTCCGACACCGCCGGCTGAGGAGCCGGACGTGCGCTTGTGTGCAAGTCAAGGGAGCCAATTGAAGTGACTAACGTGTGAGTGACTCAGAGACCACCATGTAGTCATGTATAGCGGCCTTGACTTGTATACCGCGCCCTGGCCTGAAAACTCTGCATTTAACGTATAAGAGCGCGGCCACCCAGCCAAGAGAGAATGTGAGCAACTCCTAGAGGAATGAAAAGAGAAACAATGCTTTCTATAAAGGCTGGTGTGGGACTGCTGCCACCGCTTCGGGCAGCGTGCTTCAATTTGCAGTCTCGATCTGCTTGGAAAAAAAGGCGCGGATTGGGCAATTTGCAAGTTTGACGAATGCGTTCGGCAGGTTGCCGCGTTAGACCCCGGTGACGAAGGCGGTGACAAGTTCGGCAGGCTGTCGTGTCACAAGCCAGGACCTCGGCAGGCTGTCGCGTCACGAGCAAGGTCCTCGGCAGGCTGTCGTGCCGCGGAAAACCCTGCGAAGAACGAAGTCCTCCGGAGCTCGGGAACTGGGCCGCTTTTGCGCACTTTTTCGGCCCAAAAGTGAGCGGTGACGAAGCGGTGACAAACGGTGACAAGCTCGGCGGGATGGAATTTGCCTGTTTTTCCGGGCAGAAAACGGAATCGAGAGCGAGCGTCTGGAGCCTGATTTCGACCGAAAACGAGCGAATCTGGAGGCTCAGGCACCACACTTGCCGTCTGACACGAAAAAACGAACTTTTCGGAGTTGGCCGTTTTGAGCGCTTTTTGCACCAAAAACGGAGCGGTGACGAAGACAGGTGACATCGGAAAAACGTTCAGCAGGATGGAGAATTTGGCTGTTTTGCAGGGTTTTGGGACCAAAAAACCAAAATTAATTGGGTAGTATAGGCCTTCTTTCCTTACTACTACTGGTCAAGTTTTGGCCTTTGCTGTCCCCTCTGTGCGGTGGCGTAGTGGCAGCGGATTGCGCTGTGGTGGTTGTCTTTCCTGGATTTTTGTGCACAGCGTTGTTGTTTGCCGAAAAGTTGCAGATGGCAGGCTTCTCCTTGAATGTTGGTGTTCGCCTTTCCGTATTGTGGTTATGTCTGTGGTGTTTTATTCTTGACTGGCAGGCGGAAGGTTGGTAGCACTGAGGCAACGGTACATGCAGTTAGTGTTGCTGTTAGAATGTAGGCACGCTATGTGAATGAAATTCTGCTGCGATTGATCTGTGTAGTTTCACAATCGGCACCTTTGCAGGTGCTGCTCCCAGAAAGTCAGTGCACAAATTTGTGGATGGTCTTGGAGCGATAGGAAATGCTGGTGACTCGCTCGCGGCATCAAATTTGTTTGAGCAGTTCGACTTCGTTTCGGAGGGGTAGCAAAAAGGCCGGGTTCCTCATGAAGCCGCGCTTTTGGCCGAGCAACAATTTTAATTTGTAAAAATCGGCCAGCTAGTACTCCTCCGATATCAGCAAGCCCAGGAATGAGCTGTTGTAATTGAGGCAGGTTCTTAGCAGCAATAAGTAAAGTGGCGGGGTTATGGTATCGGGCATGGATACTTTGCGATGAGTTAACACTGCAATCTCCGTTGGATTTGACCAATGCCCTGACTATTTGTGAATACCCCTTAGGGAGGTGCGCGACGAAAAACGTTATATCGGGATGCATCGCCTCCATCAATACGAAGTGGCACTGCTGCTTCTCGTGTGTAACTGTATTCAGCCCCTTCTTGAAAGAAGGTAGTATACCTACTTTGGAACAAGTTGCAATCGGGAACGACTTCAAGGTGTTCGGCTGAGGGTCTGCCGTTCGATAAAATGCAAGGCATCTCCTCAGCAGGGCCGTACCAACGCAATTACTTCGTTGGGGAAGCACTACTTGAAAGGAGATTCTGATACGAAAAAATGGCAGATTCATTGCGTCCGCATTCCAGCCTACACTTGTTCCTTCTGCAGCAGTGCAGCTCGATGCGTGTTGCGGTAAACTCGCCCTATGTCTTCTTGTCGTTTGTGGCTTGTCCGGGATGGGCCTAGAAGCAGCATGTTGAACAGCAACTTGGAAGGACCCAAGGACAATACAGTGAGGGAGAATTGGGAAATCAATCTTGTTGGCAGTAAAGGCAACGACTTGTTCAACACCCCCAAATTTGCAACTAACATGCGTCCGGTGGATGTTACCAAACTGGTTGCTGCGGCATATCATGTTCTTGATCAGAGGGAGATCAGGCCCGTGAAGGGCACGATTCCGGACGTTACGGACAGTGAGCGAGAGGTGCGTGTCATGAAGCCGGGAAAGGTCAGGCATGGGAACAAAGCAGTCCAGGACTGTGTACCATACACATGAGAGCGCTGCCCGCACTACAAGAGTGCGAGGCAGTATACCAAATGCAGTAAGTGCTGTGGATAGTCAGAATGATTCCCCATTTCAATCACATCCACAGCATGAGATTGCAGTACATGTCAGGCGTGAATCGACCGCCGCGCAGGCTCTAATTTCCAAAATAAAAACAGTCTGCTGTCGCTCAACAGATTCAGCACGTACTGCTTGGCGTTGATAAGGCTTTTATTGGTTGTGGCGCATTGCGAAGTTGGAACCATTCATTTCCTTCAGGCTTTTGTGTTGGCATTGTCACGAGACGGGGTAATGCAGCTGGTCGGTCATTTGGCTTGGACCTTTCGGAACAAATCACGCTTTCAATATAGACCACTCCAAGTGACGGCAAAGCTTTCCGCCACCACCACTGTTGGTGCTTGGTCAAGCATTTTCTGATGTTGCTGCTCTCTGCACGCATAACTAACTCATTCACCTCCAAGTGCATATCTTTGGTTTGCTGCTTGTAGACAGAAATCCAGCTCGCAAATCTACTTGTTGAGTGCTTTGATAGCGTTTTACTTGGAGGTTTCAAGGTGACAAAATCATGAGTTTTTTTTGGAAAGGCAACCATGGCATGCATTGGCTGCGCTGCATCAAGTTCGAGGTTTGGAGGAGGTTAGCCGGCTTTTCCGCGTAGGTTTGAGGCTTGTGCCTGTTGAAATTTTCAACGACGCGTTGAGATGTCTCAAACTGTAAGTCAAGAACACCTCATGCCCACTTGTATGTCACATACACGTTTTTTTCTTCATGCGGCCATTTGCGATCACGCAGGTCCGCTCTTGTATGTCACATACACGGCTGTGTTTGTGTTGCCATTTCCATGCGGGCCCGGCTTCTAACAGCATGTCTTCTGCCGCGATTTCATCCAAATTCCGGGGCGTCCGAACGCGTTTCAGTTCATTTTCCTTGTGGTGGAATCTTGGAATTTGCCGTTGCTCTTGATATCGCGTGTAGCAAACCGAGTCGGTGGAAACGAAGTTCGGCACCAAGGATCTTGGGGAATGGGATGTCGATGAAGAAGTCCACACAATGAATACGGCTTGAAAGTGCAACCTCACGAACTCATTAATCATAGATTGAAGAAGAAGAACCTCTGGATGTTCAGACCTTTGAGAGAACCCTATGTAAGCGTTTGATCATTGTTTTGGTGAACATTGTTGAATCAGACCATACTTCTGCCAATGCCTCGACTGGTGCCTGCCCCAATTTAGCCGCGCTGCGCAGTCCGCCGCCGTTTTTGGATTGAGTTGGCGGTGAAGGGTGGCCGGAGTATATGTTGGGAGATGGGGTCTGCTGATTGGCAAGCTTAGGACAAGCTTCAGCAATGGTGCATCCAAGCAGCGAAACAGCAACATCTGATTCGATTTGGCATCTTAGAAATAACATGTTTGAATCCCGGCCTTAGTGCGGAGCTTTGTGCCGAGATCTATCAGCGATGTCGACGATTGTGCCTTGGATGAAGCGCAGTTCAACGCATTTGAACCATTTGAGCTGCTTAATTGTTCTCAACATGGTGTAAAGAACGATTATGCCCTTGGAGGTCAAAATCATTGAATCCCTGGCATGTCGGTAAGCGACACTGATCAGGCGTCGCGTTCATTGGGCTGGGACCATTTGGATCGACAAGACGGATTTGGGTCATCTGCTTCTCACTGCGGCATGTTCCAAGAAAGGCCATGGGTTTTGGCGCCCAGGTGTGCGCGATCTCGGGGCAGGCGGCGCTGGAGCCGGTCTTCTCGCCCAAGACGGGGCACGTCTATGAGAAAGGGCCGGGGACCCAAAGCGGGTAGGCCGCTTGCTCGTGGCGCCAGGGTGGGGAAGGGAGCCGAGGTGTGGAGCTTTTGGCGGAGGTCCGTGAGGTTTGGCCATTTGAATTTGTGAACCTCCGGATTGGGTGCCAATTTCGATGTGTCGATGTGTCGCAAGCCAAATTCATGAACCTCCAGGGTCTGAGACAGGCTTATCACCTGAATTAAGGCTGGGCTTATTTCTAGGCTCCAGAGTCCCCAGGCTCATTGAGAAGCAGATCGAGAATTCGGGCAAGTGCCCGGTGACAAAGGAGGACCTCACCAAGGACGGAGAAAAAACGAAAAGAGGTCGCTGGCTTGCATGAAGGTGGCTTATCGAAATGGCTCAACAGACATGCTTCGGACATCGGAGATCGGCATCTTTTCGTGTATGTTTTGCAGCCCTCCGGATTGCATTGGTGCCGAAAGCAGTTTTGTGGCGAACAGCACGGTGGGTTTGCCTGCATGTTGGCCCACGCCACCCAAGCAGAAGAAAGTGTGTTAGGTCAATCCTGGATGAGGGGGACTTCGCGTTCTGCGATGGCAGGGTTCCATTGTTTGATCAACGTAAACTAGCAGAAGAAAGTGCATCAATTCACCTGGATGAGGGGGAAATCTGAAGCCCAGCGGTTCAAGTTTCCCAAGATGTCTGTCGCTGGGGAACCAAATGCCGCACGGAGAGGATGACCTGGTGCCCGTCAAGGGCAACAAATCTGTGCGGCCCCGGCCTGCCACGGCCACCTCGGTGCCGGGGATGCTGCCGGGGCTCTCAGCGATATGTTTTGCACCCCGGTTGGATGCGCAAGGCAAATCCCACGAAAGAATTTGAAGCAGGGTTGTGGGATCAGGGGTTTTTCCCCCCACTTCTGTGATATAAGGGAATCCCTTCATTATACTGAGGGGTTCATCTTGAGGCCCATTTCCCACAGCCCGGATTTCAAGTCACTTGGCTCCTTGCTGGTGGGGTGAACCTTGGTCATTCTGCGAGCGTTTCACATGTCAATGATGGAGCCTCTTTTCCCATTTCGTTTTTTGTCGATGTGGGTTTTATAATTATGGGCCCATGAACATATCCTGCTTCCTTGCGTAGCGCAGAAGACGCGGAGCGGATTTTCTGATCTCAAGCAGATTCTTGTTGGCGAAAAGGTCTCAGTCCAGAAACCGCCCAGGACGCTACTGCAGAGCGAATGGGCATGGGGCCTCAGACGGACGAGTTACTATGTTGGTCTTTGAACAACCTGTTTGTTCTTTGCTTCTTTTGGCCGGAGACGTCAAGGGCGCTGACACCGATCGGTCCGTTCCTCCCCCGTTCAGCCGGTGGCTAAGTGACTTGAGGATGCCATCATGTCGGAGACCTTCGAGTTGAAGTCGCAGCTGGACACGGCCAGAGCCCGGGCTGAAGGCATCGGCCAAAGCGCCAAAAAACGGCCGCGGCGGCGTGGGGATGCCATAGGGCAGCGCAGCGCCGGACCAGGTTGCGGTGGTCAAATCCGTACGGGATCCCATTTTGGGATCGGTGAGAATTCAGCACCCGTTTTAGGCTTTATTTCAGCGGGGATTGGTTGATGTTCACTGGGGGTACGATTTGGCTTTTGACCCATGGCCAGATAGCACAGGCTTTTTTTTGTTTTTGCGCTGCTTGATATCGCAGCTACAGGGTACTGTAGGTCCAACTCCGGTATGACTGCCGGCAATACAAGTGCCCCCAACAACTTGGTGTGCTTGCGGAGTAATTTTTGTGGTTTCCAAAGCGCGGATAGTCTGCTTCGGGCTCGGCAGGCTTGCAGCTAGAGCAACATGAGCTTGTCTCCTTGTCCCAGTTTAGAGAAGTTCATCTTCGCCCATTCTCTTCTGGCTAAGTCAAGGCATCCATTACCCTCAGCTGAAAAACATACTCCCGAAAAGCCTTGGTCATCCGCTGCAAGCCGGCCGTCTTTTTTGTGGCGTCTTTGCCAGGGCTCCTTAAAAGAGTGCCTTTTTGGAACCGTTTGAAACATGTTGCTTTTTCACGCCAAAATAAAGGGACACCACCATTTACAAGGCAATGTTCAGGTGTATAATGTAAGGATCCCTGTTTGCATAGAGAGTTGGACCAACTTTCCATATGGACTGAATTTGCCCGCAAGGCCTCGAGACAGGATTCGGCCGTCTCCTTGACGCCTCCCCTTTGGACTTACTCACTCGTGCCAGATCCCAATGGACCGGATGCAAGTGGTTACCATCGTTCACGTTGGATGTTGGACATCGCGTCGATTGAAGGTCCAATCTTTACGAGATCGCAAGCGATGGCTTGGACAAGATGAACAAATGTTGGTCATGCGAGTTTTCAAGCGGTTACTCCAGGGTGTTGCAAGTCCTACGCGGTGTGTTTGCCTTTCCTTTCTTTTGACATGAGCAGGACGTGGGAGAGGTCCAAGCTGTTGACAGAAGCAGCAATTATGTGCCATACTTGTTTGACTCAAGACGGTGATTGCAGGGAAGTCGCTTTGCCCGCCAAGGAAAGCAGCTTTCCCATGCGTTGGGCTCTCGGAGCCGAACAAAAGATTTGTTGGGCTGACAGTAGCCATGCATCTCACCCTCTTCTTTGCTCTATGTTTTGATAGTTTGAGGGAGGGACGCACATTTTGGCCCCATCTGGGCAAATGAGACAAGCTCACCGGATCAATTGTGAAAGCAAGCCATGAAGGTTTCTTGGAGATTCCTGATTGCAAGCTTGTGTTGCCCAATGGATGACCGGCTTGTTGCGCTCGCCGCCCGAGCAAGGTTGTACCAGCACGATGCGGCCTGCCGCGCCGGAGCCCCAGCATGGGCGGAAGATGTGGGGCGGAAGTGTCTATGGCTCGGTGGTTGGAGGTCTTGTTGAGATCGACTTCACCGGAACTCACCGGAAGGCTTAAGGCCCCGCGGCATGGGAAGGCCGTTGCCCGACGGCTCAAGCAAGGCAAAGCTCAGGCACTGGACATGAATGCACGCGTGTGCGTGTGTGTGTGTGCCCCCTGTTCCTTATGGCGTCCTTCGCCTTCTTGCTTTGATTGCTTTCGGGAGTCGGACGCCACTGCAGCAAACGACTTGACGTTCAGTACCTTCGCTAGCTGCTGGCGTCCCTGATGAGGAGGGCTAGCGAAGGAAAAGACGATCAAGCGTGGGCTGTGCCGAAACTCCTTTGAGTTCGCAGGGTGCTTCATCGCATGAGCCGGATGTGCCTGACGGGAGAGGGCAAGGGCGCATGATGCAAGTCTGGTGAAGCATCTTGGGAACAGTCAGTTGGAAACGGTCCTTGCGAAACTGCGAAGGCGCACCCCAAGCAACTGAAAAAGGAACTCGGCCCTGATGGTGTTCAGTGGCCCTCCCTCTTGTCTGTCAGTGCAGCACCAACAAGCAACTGTGGCTCGGCCCCGCAGCGGTGCAGTCACCGCTCAGCCTTATTGCTACCAGCACTTAGCAAGCCAGTGCCCTCCCTTGCTATCATCATGGTTGGCGGCTTCATCTTCGGCAATGAACAGGATCAACTTCTCCACGTAAAACAAGCAGGTGAAGATCTTCAAGAAGAAGCGTTGGATCCTGGCATCTCAGTCGGACCGGTCTGAGACCTTCTGACCTTGCCGTGGTGGATCTACAGGGAGTGGGGCAAGTTCGACACGGACTCGCATGCCGCTCCGCTACTACCCTCGCAACCTACTTCCGGGACTGGGAATGCAATGGCTGGCAGGACGTCCAGGACCCGGTGGCCGTCGCAACAACCCTCGTCATGTGGAACCCGTGCGGCAGTGCCTGGCAACCAGAAGCTTTCCCTCGTGCCGATCATGGATTCGGATGAGCCTTCAGAGGATGTGTGTTTGGTGCCGTCAAGCTGTGCTGCTTCTCCTTCCAGTACCCGCCGCTCTACAGCTATGTCCTTGGTTGCGACGCAGGCGACTTTTGATGCCATGGGTCAGGCCCCTACGCGACCTGGCCTCTCCACACTCCAGGCCGCCGCCGTGTCCACCGCTACAGCTACAGCTACCCCTACGCCCACACGCCCGGTACCTTCACTCACGGCTGATGCGGATCGTGTTTCTACGGGCCCTCTTCAAGCGAATCTAACTGATCAGCTTGAAGCCCACGGCGATGGGGGCAAAAGAGGAAAAAGGCAACATTTTGTCTCACGGAATTTTTGTTTCTCGGCTGTTCTGGGTCTCTTTTCTTTTTCCTTGAGTCGGTTGTGTGTGTGTGTGCCCCCTGTTCCTAAGGGGTCCTTCGCCTTCTTGCTTTTGATTGCTTTTGGGAGGCGCGCCACCACAGCAAACGACTTGACGTTCAGTACCTTCCCTGATGAGGAGGGCTAGCGAAAGAAAAGACGATCAAGCGTTGGCTGTGCCGAAACTCCTTTGAGTTCCCTTTGAGTTCCTTTTTCAGTTGCTTGGGGTGCGCCTTCGCAGTTTCGATGTCTTCCATCAAGTGTGTGTGTGTGTGTGTGTCTGTGTCTGTGCTGCAGTGTCTGTGTCTGTGTCTGTGTCTGTGTCTGTATATGTATATGTGTATGTGTATGTGTGTATGTGTCTGTGTCTGTGTTTGTGTTTGTGTCTGTGTCTGTGTATGTGTATGTGTAGGTGTAGGTGTATGTGTATGTGTATATATGTATGTATATATATATATATGTGTGTGTGTGTGTCTGCGCGCGCGGACATGCCTTCGTGCGTGCGTGGGTGCCGGTCGGAAGGTTTCCGAAATTTGGCGGCGGCTTGTGTTTCAGGTCATTGCTCGACTCATTCGCGAGCGCGACATGGTGAAAGCGCAGAATCAGCAGCTGCAGGCGTGGCCGGGCATGCAGCAAGAACGACAGAAACAAGCTTTTTGGAAGCCTGATGCATGGCTTCTATGGTTATGAAGAGAGATGTCAAGTTCGGTCGTCAATCCTTTGGATCCTTACCTCAAGATTGCCAAAGGAGCGTGAGCAGCAAATGTCGCATGCACTCATCATCGAATGTGAGGTTCTTTGTGCTCGGTGCTTGTCACTGAACGGCAACAGTTACTGAGCCACCTGCTCAAAACCGATTCGGTTAGATGATCCCATTAGTAAGGGGCAGTCCTAGCCAGAAATCGTTGCGGATATCCGCCTTCTTAATTGTTTACATGGGTGTGGCTCAAAATGACACGGGAGGGGGCAAACCGCAGGTTCTGGTCCTTGTTTCCACTTCCAAGGGCAACCCATTTTGGTACCTTTTGGTTTTTTGAGCCACAGCCCATGGTTCTGGGAGTTCCATTTTAATACCGGGTTTTGAGCAAGTGACTCAGGTGCCTGTGAGACCTCGGTAGGGGCTTGGTTGGGCCTCTCGCAGAGTCTTTCTCGAGCCCAATCCTAACTGGACATGGAACATCCATTCTCCGTCACTCGCGGGTCTTCCAGAGCTGCCTATCACCTGTGCAGTGAAATTGCTGTAGGAACCATCCATAGATCCTTTGCACTCTGCGAGAATAATAACGACCTCACACGACCTCACCCCAAATGGTGGTTTCTGTGGGGAATAGCCCCCCAACCACCTTATTTCAGGCTGGTGAAATATTACAATTACAATTCACCCAGATTACTGATGTTGGAAGGAGACTTTAAGTTTGTGAAGTCCCTTCCAGGACCAGCTGGCGAACTCCTCGCCCTTGCCCGGCGGCGCAGTGCGCCAGGCGCAGGGAGTCTGCGTTGGGAAGTTCGAGCTCAGGACAAAGCTAAGGGAACACTAGCTTACTGGATTTGTCCTGAGCATTGTTCCCTTACTGGACATTTCCGGATTTTCGCTTTGTCCGCGGTCGGCAGGCAGACGTGTACCACGGTTTATGTTTTCTGATATTTTCAGATTTCTGCGGAATAGTGATCCCAGATATGTGGTGGGCTTTGGAGGATTGAAAAACCAACTTGAGAAGAGGCAGCTGAGGAGGGTTCCTCCTTATTTCGCCGATGGACAGGAACAAAAGGTTTTTTGAAAAGTGCCAACATATAAGCATAAGATGGAATTGTTCCTCACTTAGCTGTAGCAGGGTACGCCTTATTAAAGCCATCATCCATCTCAGTGCCCTCTTTGAGGGAAACTAAACCTCGCTTTCAGCCCAGGCGTTCATGTTGTCAAGGCACATGGCAAGGCTTGCCTTAAGTGGGGTTTTACCGCATCTTCCCCTTCAACCAGCAGTAAGTTCATTCTTTGCAGATCTACAACACTTCCCTCTATTAGCAAAGCGAATGCCTAAGCCATGATTGTGCCATCTACTTTCACCCAAGTGTAAATCTGGAGCTGATGGGAGTGATCGCCTCACAGCCAGGAAGCAGAGATGGGGGTCACTCCACAGATGCTGCAGAACATGCAGGCGCTCGCAGACAGCTTGTGCCAGCCTTAGAGAGACCGAATATGTTTTCCCGATGTCTGGAACACCTTCGCAAGTGGAAGATGGGATGCACCCCAAGTGGTGAGACCCCATGGACAGACCTCCAACCATGCATCAAACCTCAATGGTGATCTGTTTCTCAATGTGGCTGTGGGTCAAACATATGTACCCAAAATGGAACCGTGGTAAATGGAAACATGGACCAAAACCTGCGGTTCCCTGGTGGTTTAATTTTGACCCATATCCATGTTGTTTTGTTTGCAAGTACTCAACGTCAAGCGTCTCTTTGCTCTCGCCTTAGTCTGCTGAAATCAATGAATGCCACGCCACGATGCTTGTTTGGAGATGGGACCCACTCCAAACTCCAAGACACTGGCCTCTGTAGCATAGCAGGTACATGAGAGATCGTCCGGAGTAAGATGCTTTCCTTCAGAAAGACTAGTCGGTTTTCGTGGACTTGAGGCTCTGAAGCAAAAGTCACGGGGGCGCGTGCATGTTTTCTCCTGCGCAACGCCAAAAGCTCGCTCCGACTCAAGGGCAGCCAGAAACTTATGCGGGCAGTCCAACTCTGACCAAAGAAGGGAGCACCCAGGATTCCAGGAATAGCTACAACTTAGCCAAAGACATGATGCTTGGCGTTTTTGTTTGCCAGACTTCATGAACATCTTGCAGACGTTCCCGGCACCGGTTCCTCAAAGCAATGAGCTGATCTGCCCCGTTGCCCAGGTCGAAGACCAGGAAGCAGAAGCACTTCCCCGAGCTGACGCCTCTCGTGGATATCAAGAAGTTCTCCTGCGCCAGCATCCTAAAGGGGGGGGGCCTGTGCCGCACCCCATGTGGACACGTGAGGATAATTTTTTGTTTGACAAGGCAATGCGTTGAGAGCTGCTCGCCCCCAGGGCTCTTGCAAAAATACCCATCTCCGAGCCGCATTCAGAGCCTGAGCTTCAACGAACAGCCAGCCCGGCCGGGCCAGCAAATCGCGGTAGAAACGCGCGCCTCGCGTTTGAAGGCTGTACCCTTTCGTTCGGAGCGGGAAATCACATTTTGCCGGAACGGGCAGCCCAGGCTGGGTCTCATCCCATCCACAAGTCCACGGAGCCACCGCCTCGGAGAGTTGATCGGGCGATCGGGGCGTCTTTTCTCTGGGCCGTTGTGTGGTTGGCGGTTGAACGGAAAGAACACAACGACACCGAATTTGCAGGCGCCATGTACTTGAGCAAGCGGGCTTCAATTGTGGGCCTAAGGTTATGCTGACTTCACGTTTTGAGGCTTGACCCAACAGCAACAGTTCTGGGGGACTTAGCCAGTTCTGGGGTTCGAATTCTTGGGCATAGATTTGGGCTGATGCTGTTGGGGGATAGTCCTAGGCACAGTTTGTTGTTGGCTACGCAACGCAAGGACCATCATGATTACAGTGTTTATACTGTTTTTTGAAAAATAAATAAATAATTGACCTTTTAGTGATCTCGACCAGATAATCTTGACACTCAGCAGATGACCTCGCGTATCTAGTTGTCCAAATATCGAAACTTTCCAAAGGCGCAAAAGCAGTGCATGGTGCTGTGCGGCTTCGACCAAGACTCTGGGAGCGTTTCAAGTGTCAACAACTATTTCCAGGTCTGGATGGAGGATGTTGCGAGTTTGAATATATGGGCATCTTGGTGCATGTCAACCACAAAGCACTGAGTTGCCTTGATTTTTGTTGGCTGGATTCAGGCCGGGTATCCTTTGCGTTGACGTGCACAAGACGGATGGCAAGCGTGTGGCCACGGGGGGTGTTGACGCACAGGCGCGGGTTACATTTGTGCTCCGGGCTTCGTACCAAGCTGCAACTCACTGGAAAGTTGCATCTGAAATGGAATTGCCCGGGTCCATCTAGGACTCGAAATGACCCCCGAAATGGCGGTAAGTGAGAATAGCGGGAGCCCAAAAGGCTCAAGATGTTGTGTGCCCCGCAAGAGCTTCGGAGCAGATCGCAGGTTCGCCAGACTCCGGCATGGACTCTTTTCCGCTCCGCTCGCTCGGCTCGAGCCCGGGAGGTGGTGCTGGTGGACGCGGAGAAGGGCACCATGGTGCAGAAGTGCACGGGGCATTCCAAGAAGGTGACGGCGGTGAAGCTCCATGCCACCGAGGCGGAGGGGATGAGTTGTTGGCGGCTTTGAGGGGTTTCGGGGGGGGGGGGTGTTGGGGGGGTTGGGGGAGGTTACCGGGGAGGTTGCGGAGGTTTGGGGGGGGGGGGGTTGGGGGAGGTTACCGGGGAGGTTGCGGGGGGGTGTGTGTTTCGGGGGGGTTTGGGGGGCTTGAAAGGTTTGGAGGAGTTTGGGGGGGTTTCGTGGGTTGGCGCAGGTGTGCTGAGGTTTGGGGCAGGTGGGTGCCTCGACGTGTAGAGTTGAGGCCGGGGTCAAAGAAGGTGTCGTGTCCGACTTGACCACTCGGTCCCGCTGAAAAGGTCGCCGCGCCCGCCAAAGCAACACCCCTCCGAGTCTCGTGCAGGACGTGGTGGTCTCTGCGTCGCAGGACATGACAGCAAAGGCAAGCGGGGAGTGCGGAAGCGGGGCGTGTGGCAAGAGGCAGTGGTGGCTTTTGGCGTCAGGAAGGTTCCCTCCCACTAACATGGCGCTAGTAGGAGGGTACCTGAAGGATCGACCTTCTCTCATTGGCCCGTGGTTCCATCTTGAAGGGAGGAATACTATTGAACGGATGGACGCTGATCTTGCCGGGGTGAGCACTTCCATTGAACCAAGTGGCCTCAGCCAAAATCATGCCCTGGGTAAAGGCTAGTGTGGGGTGTTTCCCATTTCCAACTGTTTCTAGAGGAGGGACATTCCCAACCATTCTTACAGGAGGCTGCTCGTGACTCCTTCGGTTGCGGGTGCGTTTCATTTGATCCCGAAGAGGCCATCCGCTGCAAGTCAAAGAATCTTAGGTCGAGAAGACCGATTCCAACAGACATATGAAGCCTCTCCACCCCTAGAGTCACGTGTGGAGTGGGTACGGTACAGGCCGCCCAGATCCACTGCTCCCCACCAAAACCCAAAGGGGGGGGGGGGGGAGCGGGCAGATCCACCGAGGAAAGCTCTCAGCGATCGCTCGATCACAGGTCTGGAAGTGCAGCGGCGGAGATTGGACCTCTGCGTGCCCCGGGGGTAGCAGTCGCACCAGCCCGTGATTTTTTTTATTTTATTTTTTAGTGTTTCAGGAGGAGTCCGCTTTCTGTAGATCTGCATGAAGGGGGAGAAGCTGGTGAAGATCACTTTTGTGTTGGCTTGTGAAGGCTTCACGCGCACTGAAGCAGGTACAGCTGCACCCACACTGTGCGGAAGCACCAAGCTGAGGCAAGGAGCGTGCGGAAGGGTCATTTTTAGGTACATGCAAATTTGTTTTCGCTTGTCCCTGGTTTCAGATGGACGCAGCAAGCCAAAGCACTCATTTTGGAGTTGAGCATTTAGTCCCCGAACCTTACGGAAATTAAGGAATTGTGCAGAGCATTCAGCAAGCGAGCAACCGCATGCACTCCATACGAGCACTCAGGTGAGGCTGTTCCCGTAAGGCATGATGACCATTGAATCCCCAAATAAACCTCCGCATGCCTCACAACTTGCTGGCCCGCCATTGCGTTTTTTGGTTGTGAGGCATGTAGCTGTGACGCGCTGCAACTTCTGACTTCTGCAGTGATGCAATCGTCTCCGCTTAGCCAGACTTCTATGGCACCCATGTCGATCAGCCCTTGGATGTCTGAGCACCCTAGATAAGATGAGTAGGATTCTCTTGGAGTATACGCAAAGTGCTTTATTGTCTGCACGGGAACTCGCATCCGCTACATTTGCCGCCAAATTGCCACTTTGTCTAGTCAGAGCGGTCTGGGCAAGGCCACTCGGCTGTGCAGTCTTCTTGCACGATTGGATGCTCTTGATTCATTCTGCCTTCCTGTGGGTCTTTGTTTACCTGGTGACTGTCACTGGCAAGCAGTTCGTTTGCCGCCAGAGAATCTGCCGGGGTTTGGCCTCCTTTTCGCCGCAGGTCGCTGATGTCTCCATCCACCCCACAGGCGCCTGAAGCGGGGGGGTTCCTGGGCATCCCAGGCACTGCAAGGACCATGGTCTTTTTATTATTATTATTATAATAATAGATGGCACTGGTTTAGATGGGTTTCATTCCATTTTTGCCAGGGCCATCGATTTTTCCAAAAGGCGACCTATAGCAGCGACTTCAATGCCTGCAGTTCCCTGGCTGGTTACCGTTTGCACCATGCCAGTATGATAGATTGAAAAGAGAGCGTTAGAGACATGATTTTGTCATTCTTCTTTTTGAAATGGCAGCTTGTTAAGAGAAGGCGTGCGTTCAGGCAAGTTTTCCGCACCACGAATCCCCTCAAAGATGGGGATCCAAATACGTAAGCACGTTCTCCTCGGTTCCCACGAGGTGACTACTTCCTGACCTGCGCCCTGGACAAGAGTTGGGCCTTCCATGACCTTGCCACCGGGCGCTGCGTGGACCCGACATCGGCTTGACATGGAAGGTGGAGGGATCTTTTTGGTTGAGCCAGTTGAGGGATCCCTTTTTGGATTAGGTGGTGGACAAGCTTGGTACAATCATTAGACGTCCCGGAAGGATGCGTACTCTTGATTGCCAACAGCTGTGCGACTTTTGAGCGAGTTCATGATTTTGGGCATGACTTGTCATAGTTTCCAGAACCCATCACGTTTTGATCAAATGTGTTGTTCCACAATCTGGACCAAGTGCAAGTGCAGAGAAAGCTGGATCATGCAGGGCCCGGCAAGAAGCAACCACTACAGCGCCAGATGACAGGATGCTTATTCTGATTCCAAAAAAGGCCTCACAGCTTGCGTCCTTTCAATTTTCAAAATAGTGGCCCCAAATTGTCAAGAGCTCAAACAGGCCGCTCGCCAGGTGAGTATCATACCTGAAATCGTTCTTCTGTGGTTTAACTACACAGGTTTGTAAAGATGAGTGACTGACTTGTGCTTCGCAGAACAAAGATCAGGAGACCCGCCCGCTTTTTGCGGCGTGTAATTTTTTCAGTTTCTCTAGTGGCGTTGCGCGGTTTGATGATGTTCTGACGAGTACATGTGCGAGCAGCATGCCGTGCGAGGCTTCCGACATGACAGGGCCTAAACTTCTTGCACACGCATCGCACATCCGAAGGCCAAAGCAAAGTATAGCGGGTGATTTTAGGTCCGGGCATGGAGTCGTGGTTGGCGTGTCCGTGTGGGGTCTACAAGCAGCTGGGACATATGATTCGCCAGGTACTAGTCCACCGAGTGTTTCTCCAGTCTGAAGCTTGTGGCCGCGTTTGCCAGGTGAAGCAATTTCACGGCGAGAGCAGCCACCTGGCAGGATGCTGGCTCTGTCGCATTTGTGGCCCTCGTGCGGTGGGTTGGCTGATATTGAAGGTTTCGATTTTTTGGGGTTCGGAGGATGCAGGCAGATGTGATTTCACCAAGGCACACTGACAGAGCTGCAGTGGAAATTCACTTGCCTAAGATACTGGGTCCTTCTCAGATCATCATCATCATCATCATCATCATCATCATCATCATCATCATCATCATCATCATCATCATCATCATCATCATCATCATCATCATCATTACCATCATCATCATCAGCACGCTTCTTGAGAGAGCTCGTGTCACGTGTCATATAGAGATGTTTTGCTGAATTCCTGCAAAGGTATCACCCAGTGTGCCACATCGAACTCGCTGAAGCAGAGGTCAAGATTTTGGGTAGGGGGGGGTCAAGATTTTGGTCCATCCAGGCCGGTCCCATGGCAAGAACCAGTGCGAGACAGATCAGGCTTGTTTCTTGTTGCAAGATTGGCATATGTGTTGATGCCGATGGTCTAAGTTGTGGACTGGCAGGTCTTGTGGGTAGGATGCCTGGCGCGAGCTCTGAGGCTACCCTTGCATGAAGTGGCACCCGGACGGAATGATCCTGGCCGCGGGCACACAGGCACGGGGGGGTTTCGTCCGTCTTGTCAGGCCGGGAAGTCAGTCTCGTCGGGCCATCGCGGGCTTCTGCGTTGGCGGGCCCTGGGCCTTTGTTGAGAGCGCCGTTGGTGGATTCAGAGATCATTGACTTTTTTGTCTTCTCGGAGCCTGTGAGTGAATCACCGAATTGTCCCATCTCTTGCTCGAAGGCCAATGTCGTGGAGGTCTGGGATATCAAGGAGCTGCACCGGTTGGGACGTTTTTGGAATGGAGGTCAAAGCTTGGTCGATTGGGACCTCATGGATCTGTGAAATCCAACGTGCAGTCTATGGCCGGAAGGGAGGGGGCAGTCTTAAATTGATCCTGCGGCAGCGCCCAAAACTCTTGGCCATTTTGCTTGGCTTCTACTGCCTTGCTGAATCCTTTATATCTTGTAGCCATGGGCCATGCAGCGTCGCAAATCAATGGGTGTTGGCACCCCTGGCTGCTTTGCAGCTTACCCCGTCCTCTTCCAAGGAGCAGAAGGTGGTGGCGAGCCTGCCGGGGCACGAGGGATCGGTGGAGGCCTGGAAGCGAGTAAGCGAGTGCACCTCTAGGGTTGCGCCAGAACCGTGAAAAGACATTTTGCCAACGGATGTTAGGACTTCAACTTTTTGCCAACTTGTGGATGTTTTCCGAATTTGACCACTAAAAGTTAAACTTGCAGGGGAGCAAAAAGCAACCGAGTCAAGGCTACCTTGGAAAAGCATGCCGCCTCGGCATGGGCTCGGATGCAGCGAGTTGCCAACTTCAAAAATCGGAAGACCCTCTGCGGACTTCTGAAGTTTCGGACGTGTTGGGCCACTGTTTGGCCGTGATCCATCTTGACTTTGGCTCAAGCTGTTGAGGCATCTCCTCCGCCCGCGGCTGTCGTTTTAGGACACTTTTCACCATGAAGATCGCACGGAACATGGCTTGCCGAGTGCGACGGACCGGGCATGGCTGGACAGGGTTCGGCAGCCTCCACGCCCGCAGCATGGTGACAGAGCTTCCCTACCTTCCGCAACGCTGGGAGGAGCTTGCGCTTCCCACCAGAAGGCGCATTGAAGACGCCAAGTCCATGCATCCGCTCTTCTACACGGACGCCGCTTATGCGCAGGCGGAGCGTGAGCGCATCTTCGGGATGAGTTGGTTTGCGGTTGCGCATGTGCAGGAGCTTGCGCAGCCCGGGGATGTGAAAGTGGTGGAGGTGGGTACAACCTCCATCATCTTGACCCGCGACAAGAACCACCGGCTCCACGCCTTCTACAACTCCTGCCGGCACCGAGGTGCCAGGGTGGTCTCATCCGGGGCGACAGGATGCAAGCAGCTGGTGTGCCCCTACCACTGGTGGGCCTATCGCTTGGACGGCTCCTTGGTTGGCGCTTTGGTTTTGTCTGTGTCTTCGATTTGACCTTTGAGTCTCTCATTCGGCCTTTCTGCTTTGGTTGAACCCTTTGGGGAGCATGAGAGTTGCCCCGACTGGCAACAGATACGAATCACTTCTACTTTAGGGTCCGTTAAAGTAGTCAGCTTGATGGGTTGGCGGTGGCAATTCTCTTTCAGTTTCATGGCCAGAGTGGTTTGTGTTATGTTTCTCTTCCGACGGGCGGGGTTGAGCCGGGCCACTAGCCAACGGTTTGCGGTACCCTCTCTCCAAAACTGGACGTTGCTGGATACCATTGTCCTTTTCAAGGGACCTTGATCATTTATCGGTTCCTTCTGTTTGGAGGTTTTTCTTGTTTCTGACATCAGCTCACTTGCCCAAGGTTCATCTTTTGACCTTTCTAGTTTCCATTTTGCTTTTTGAGTCGTGGCCCAAAAAATGTGAATTTTCTATTTCTGAGCCAAGGTTCCTTGAAGTCGACACCTCCCGCCGCGATGCCGAAGGAGCGCAAGGACGACTTGGGCTTGGCGAGAGTGCCCGGCCTGGAGACCTTTGCAGGCCTCATCTTCCTGAACCAGAGGCTTGACCAAAGACCGACCTGTTGCAGGGGATCGAACCGTTTTTCTTCTTTTTTTTTCCCTTCTTATTTTTCTTCTTATTTGTTTCTTTCTCTTTTCCCGGGGGTTCCCATGGCGTACAGCAAAAGAGTTAAATATGGATAGTTTTGCACAATTGATTTGTTGGAGCATCTTCAACACGTCAAAGGCCTTTTCAGTTTTTTTTCTGATTGGTTGGGTGCTGAAAGGGTAAGCTGGGTCCCCAAAGGAAAACTACACCTGGCTTTCGGTAAGGATGCCAAAGCCACCTCCTCTCCGTGACACCCTGGGAGATCTGCCGGAGAAGCTGGCGCGCTATGATTTGGATGAGATGCACTTGTACAAGCATAAGATGTACGACATCGCAGCTTCACATGCAGTCTTGGCAGCGTGCGTTTTTGTGGGGCTTTTTTCTCAGTTATGCAGTTAACTGTTCCGCTTCTTTCTGGCGGGGGCAAAACGAAGATGTGTCCACGTGTTTCCTTTGTACTGGCGCGCAAGGGATTGGACAGTTGGACACGTAAGCCTAGCAGAGGTTGGGTTATAGAAAGGGCTGCTTTTTGCCTGCTTTGACTCCAGATGTCCGCGGGGCGTTGCGTGAGGCCGGGAACTGGAAGTTGATCGCCGAGAACTATGTGGACTTCTACCACGTGGACGCGGTGCATCCCGAGCTCGCCAAGTTCTCTCGCGTGGATGACCACCAGCCATATCAAGGGGGTGGCCAGTATGTCGCTCGCCAGAAGGAAGGTCCCTCCTCTTTCAAGGACTGTACCCGGCTTTCCAAAGGGGGATACTTGGGCTTACGTCATTTTCTTTAGATTCAGAAGGAAGGGTGCCGACTCTTTCAAAGATTCCGGCTTAGGTCAGGAATTACTTGGGATGGCCCAAATGGGTGCAGCACAGGAGGGGCAAACCGCAGGTTTCGGGCCATATCTCCACTTCCCAGGGCAACCCATTTTGGTACCTTGTTGTTTTCCGGGCCACAGCCACAATGAGGCCCTTTTTTTCTCAAAGGGCCCCAAAATGAGCCCAAACATTTACAAAGGGCCCCGAAAGGTGATAAGGTCAGGAAAATGTGGGGTTGAGCCCAAAATCTTACAAAAGAGGAACAAATGCCAACACAAATTGCAAAGGGCCCGCCAAAGGTATGTCAATGGGGATACTTAACACCAAATGAGCCCACCAAAACTACCAGGGCCCAGAAAGGTCAGGAAAATGGGGGGCTGCTTGGGACCTTGGCCCAAATGCGCCCCAACAAAATTGCCAAAAGGGCCACATCGGAGGTGGGCTTTGTGACCAACCCCCTGACCGACTGCGGCGGCCCGGGCGACACCTCGAGGTTCAACCACTTCGCGCGGTTGAAGGCCGTCGAGTCCAGCTCTGGAGTCTCCTTTGAAGTTTTTTTTTTGGGGGGTTTTGTTCCTTTTTCGCGGATGTTTTGGGAGCCCTCTGATCTTTGCGTCGACTTTTGGATCCACTCGATTTTTTTTCTTATTTTTTTGAGGGCGAGATTTCTCGAAGCTTTCTTTTCTGGTGGAGTAAGGACTGTACTTCCAGATCTTCCCCAACGTCTCGCTGACCATCTACCCGCACTCCATGTTCACCATGCTGACCCTGCCGGCTGGACCAGACCGGACGCAGGAGCAGCTCACGCTGCTCATGGCGCCGGAGGCGCAGAAGAACGGCGTGTCGCGGGATGAGCAGCTCTGCGGGTGTTGGGTGCATGCTGGTCTTCGAACTACTTTTTGTTTTTTGTGTGTGTGTGTGTGGGGTGGGGTGGGGGGGGGGGGTAAGAGGGAAGAGTATGTATAATGTGCCGGGGAGAGGTCTGGGCATCAACATCACACTGAGAGCTGGCTTTCAGGCAGATCTTGTATAGGAATTGATTTCATAAAATTGCAAATCTTAGTCTGAGAAATTGGCTTCCAGGGGAATTTGGTAGGAATGAAATTGCAGATATTACAAATTAGTTTGTAAGGTAAAGAAAATATTCTCCAAAATAACAAATATTACAAATTTTACAAATTCTAGTCTGATAAATCAGCTTCCAGGGGAATTTGGTAGGAATTAAATTACAAATTTTACAAATTTTACAAATTTTACAAATTTTACAAATTAATTTGCAAAATTTGTAGAATATCAAAAAATATGGCCAGAAATTACCAATTTTACAAATTTTACAAATTTTACAAATTAATTTGTAAAATTTGTAAAATATCAAAAAAACTGGTCCAAAATTACAAATTTTACAAATTTTACAAATTAAATTGAAAAAAATGTAAAATATCAACAAAATATGGCCCACAATTACAAATTTTACAAATTTTACAAATTAATTTGTAAAATTTGTAAAATATCAAAAACATATGGCCCACAATTACAAATTTTACAAATTCTAGTCTGAGAAATTAGCTTCCAGTGGAATTTGGTAGGAATTAAATAACAAATTTTACAAATTTTGCAATTTTTACAAATTTTACAAATTAATTTGTAAAATTTGAAAAATATCAAAAAAATCTGGCCCAAAATTACAAATTTTACAAATTTTACAAATTCTAGTCTGAGAAATTAGCTTCCAGAGGAATTTGGTAGGAATTAAATTACAAATTTTACAAATTTTTTTGCAAATTTTACAAATTAATTTGTAAAATTTGTAAAATATCAAACAATATGGCCCAAAATTACAAATTTTACAAATTTTACAAATTCTAGTCTGAGAAATTAGCTTCCAGGGGAATTTGGTAGGAATTAAATGACAATTTTTACAAATTTTACAAATATTACATTTTTTTTCAATTTAATTTGTAAAATTTGTAAAATATCAAAAAAATCTGGCCCAAAATTACAAATTTTACAAATTTTACAAATTAATTTGCAAAATTTGTAAAATATCAAACAAAATATGGCCCACAATTACAAATTTTACAAATTTTACAAATTAATTTGTATAATTTGTAAAATATCAAAAAAATCTGGCCCAAAATTACAAATTTTACAAATTTTACAAATTCTAGTCTGGGAAATTAGCTTCCAGTGGAATTTGGTAGGAATTAAATTACAATTTTTTACAAATTTTACAAATTTTACAAATTTTACAAATTAATTTGTAAAATTTGTAAAATATCAAACAAAATATGGCCCACAATTACAAATTTTACAAATTAATTTTTAAAATTTGTAAAATATAAAAAAAAAATCTGGCCCAAAATTACAAATTTTACAAACTGTACAAATTAATTTGTAAAATTTGTATAATTTGTAAAATTTGTAATTTAATTCCTACCAAATGCCCCTGGAAGCTAATTTCTCAGACTAGAATTTGTAAAATTTGTAAAATTTGTAATTTTGGGCCAGATTTTTTTGATATTTTACACATTTTGCAAATTAATTTGTAAAATTTGTACAAATTGTAAGATTTGTAAAATTTGTAATTTAATTCCTACCAAATTCCACTGGAAGCTAATTTCTCAGACTAGAATTTGTAAAATTTGTAATTGTGGGCCATTTTTTTTTTGATATTTTACAAATTTTACAAATTAATTTGTAAATTTTGTAAAATTTGTAATTGTGGGCCATATTTTTTTGATTTTTTTTACATTTTTTTGCAATTTAATTTGTAAAATTTGTAAAATTTGTAAAAATTGTAAAATTTGTAATTTAATTCCTACCAAATTCCCCTGGAAGCTAATTTCTCACACTAGAATTTGTAAAATTTGTAAAATTTGTAGTTTTGGGCCAGATTTTTTTGATATTTTACAAATTATACAAATTAATTTGCAAAGAAATGTACAATTTGTATTTTAATTCCTACCAAATTCCCCTGGAAGCTAATTTCTCAGACTAGAATTTGTAAGATTTGTAAAATTTGTAATTTTGGGCCATATTGTTTGATATTTTACAAATTTTACAAATTAATTTGTAAAATTTGTAAAATTTGTAATTTTGGGCCAGATTTTTTATATTGCAAAATTTGTAAAATCTGGAAATTTCACTTTTTGCACATGTACTTGCGACATTTTGTGAAATGCTTAATTGTTAACCATATTTGTTGGAATTTGGCATAGTTCAGAAACTAATCTGCAAAATGTGTATAACTTGTAATGTAACTCCAGCCAAATCTCCCCGGAAAGCAAATTCCCCAGAGTACGTTTCAATGTCAGCAAACATCCGATTTAGAATTACAAGCTGGATTTGAACAAACATTGCTCGGGGGTTGCAAATTGCACAAGCTAGTTTGTAAAAAGTCGGTCCAGAATTACACAAATTACAAGTAAAGGTGTGAACATTGTAAACTTGATAAAACTTGATCACCGTCCTTCCCTTAACGGCTTTTTTTGGGTCAAGTTTGTTTCATTTTGAATCGGTTGAAGTTTGGTAAGGAAATGGGGAGGAAAGCATATTATCTTTTCATTTGGAATCTCTCTTTTCTGTTATTTCCATGTGTTTGTTTTTCTTTAGGATCTCGAATTCATACTCCTTTCTTTATCTTTCACTCTCTCCCCTGACCATTTCTTCCTACAATCAACTCAATAAACTAGGATGGAAAAGACAGGGATAAAGAAATAAACATAAGATAGGTAAAGGAGAGAGGACATCTTCTGCAACACGCTTCTTTTGGATAACTTTCATACCACACATACCTGATGGAGAAAGAGATGGAGAAAACCGTACAAATAGAAAGACATGGAAAGGCGACTGGGATTGTGGGATGGATTCATTTGTATCTCAGAGATTTTATCGCATACCAGGTTAGACCAATCGATGAAGGTAAGGGAAAGGGAAAGGTGTGAAAGAACAAAGAATGATTAAGAAAATCTTCCGCCCAGACATCACGCAGAATACACCAGATAGCCTGTCCGTGAGACTTGGAGGATATGATGATTGAAGATTCCCTCACTATCCCTTTCCAGCCTGTCTTTGGGGCCTCTTCCAAATCATTGCCTGTTTCCTCTTGTCCATCCATCCTCATCCTTTATTTGCATTTATGGATGGGCAAGAAGTGACGAAAGCATTTGCAGGCAGTAATAATTACGGTAGAAAACGTAATATCCTCCCTTTCTTTTCAAAATCCTGTTTTATACAAGCTAACAACATAAAAAGGGCGCGAGACAGTTATGACAAAGCTAAAGATAATTATGGGTGGTGCTTACAGAAGCTATCTAATTTATTACGTGCTAATACATGCTTCTAATCTTAAAACCATACTTACATTCCTCGTTCTTTTCTATTTTATTCTTCCCTTGTTGAGATTCATTGCGCTATCTTTCTTTGTGAATGCTTTTGGCTGTCCGGTCGTCGCTGGGGCTCACCGAAAGGAAAAAAGATTATGAGTAGGTCTTACTCATATTATTTTGCTTGTGTTTTACTATCTTTTGGACCTTTCATCCTTCCCCTTCTTCTGTTTCCCTTTTCAACCGTTGAAGAATGCCAGAAATCGAGGGGTGAAGGAAGGAGGGAGAAGCTAGCCCCCCCGTTCCTTCTTCTCCAACTGTATCGCTAGTGGGGAGAAGATAGGAAGGAGATCAACCGTTCCATCTTTACCTTTCCCTTCCCCACTACGTTCTGGAGTTCTGTCACTACGAAAGACTCACGATGGAACAGTCTAAAAGTGGGACGAAGGAAGGGGATATTGGCTTTATTTTTGGTTTATTTGTAGAAAAAGAAAGCCACTTTCCACAACCCGCTTCTTTCTGTAAAAAAACAGATGGAAGAAGATGACCTTTCCTTTCCCGGCCCAGCCAACGCTTGTCATTTTCCTTGCCTTGTCTTTTACATTGCCATGTTTTGGAAATGAAGAAGTAAAGCGTCTGGCAAGGAGGTAAGCGCCCATCAATACTAATTGAAGATACCGAATTGGATGGGCACTTACCATGTCTTTCCATCACTTCTTTCTTTCCTTTTGATGAAATTGAAGATTGAAAATGGGAAGTGAGAAGCCTCTCTTGACTTCTTCCTCAAGCACAGGCTGCTGTTAATCTTATGCCGTGTGATGCTTGGGAAGAAGAAGAAGAGAAGATAGGAGAGGGTGAACAGAAGTAACGTGATTCTTTCTTTTCCTCCGATCGCATCCTGATTTTCCCATGTATGTCACCCACCAACATCTTCAACCCATAAAGATTTGACTACAGAATCCTTAAAACCTTTTTAATAGCAAATGCTAGCGGTCTCTCTCTTTTGCTAATAATCTTCTGGAAATGAAAGGACAATAATAGAGTTTTAGATCATAGGATGGTGTAAGGACTGGGTTCTTCTCATCGTTGACGTCCTTCCTTGTCCAAGTCACGGAGGAAGAGAGGTTGGTTGTGGTCCCAAGAGCTTGTATCCTTCCCTTTCTATCTCTTCCACTTCATCCAGGAAACATTTGTGGATGGACATGTCGTTATTAAGATCATTGCCTTTCGGTTTACCATCCCATTTATTGCTTGAATATCTATCTTTGTTGTCTTCCATTTACAATATTATCTGAGAAGTATAGAAATGCTTCTGGGTGTGAGGTTGAAAAATTGGCGATGTAAAGAAAATCACGATGGTTGGAACAGAAAGTTAATCATTACCAAGAATAGGTTCATAGTCTCTCATCTGCTGGTTGCATTCTCATGTACTTTCACTTTGCAACCTTTCTACTTGTTTATCTATCTTCCCAATCTCTCTTTCTCTCTCTCGCATTGTAAACGTTGGAGGCATCTGGATGGGGGAAAAACACCCGGGGGGTAATAACGAATATGAAGAAGAGGAACTGGCTAACACTCCTTCTGCTCTCCCGTCTTTCGCGGCTATCAGGATTAGTAAGAATTACGAAAAAGGCCTATGAAGAAACATAATAGATACATAAATAAATAAATCAATAGGCAAATGACAGAACCAAGAACATGAAAGTAAGAAAGAATGTTAATAAATGAAACGGTCTATTGGGAGACAAATTATTCTTGTCCATCAAGAACCCTCTCCAACACAGTTGAAAAACCTAGAGTGGACAATGATGGATATGATAGAAAACGCAATAAGATAATAAAACGCAGTAAGCTATGAGATTACAACGATTCTGTAATTATTGCCTTTAAATTCACCCCGTGACCACTTCATCCCATTTACACAAATATATTGGAGAAGATATTAGTGCATGATGAAGAATAAACACAAATTATAACCATAGATAGTTTGCTTGACTCTGAAGAGGCTGTTGGTCTTTACTCATGGAGTTTATTTAGTTGTATCTTCTTTCTGCTTTTGTTCTATTAGAATTTCCTTGCAAAATCTCTCGCTCACTTCCTATTGTATCATTAGATATGTGCAATATTCTTGAGTTTTAGGTGAGAATGAAAAGGATATTAATAGTTCAAGTTGCTGGAGAAGGACGGAACACTATTTACGAAAGGCTATTTATTTACTAGAATCTCATGAGTAATGTTAACTAATTTGTATCGATTGGGGTTTATTTCTCACCTTCTCTTTTTAAGGGGTTTCCTTTTGCCTCCCTTCATCGCTAGAAGTGACCGAAGGAAGTTAATAGTTTTCTCATCAGAATATTGCCTGTCCAAATAGAGTGATGAATGAAGAGACGCTTAACTGTTATTATTGCTTACGTGACGTCTCACGGACAGGCTACGTCTCCAGACCCTTTTTATATCTCTCTGATTGTTCTTTCCTTTTATGTTTATTTGACCAGCATTTGTTTACTATTTACTTCTTCCTCACTGACATTCGATCTTCTCTAACTCTGTTATCTGTTACTGTGGCTTTAATCATTTGATTAACATTTTCCTCTTTCCATTTCCATGCTCTATCTTGGTGAGCTAGCAAACGTTTAATTTAGAAAAAATATGGAAGTGATAGATAGGAGGACATCATTATTTGTTTCTATTAATACTACTTCACGAAGGTATACCGTGTGCTTTTATCACACTCTCTCACAACCAAAGAGAGGATGTTCATCTGGTCTTCATCACCCCTCACCCTTTTTTCTATTACTACAAACTAGCTGGTTCTTTCAGGGTGGGGCATGCCAAGACATTCCTTTCTACTCTTGGGATTGCACCAAAAGAGTCCATGTGCAACAATGAGCCGTTCTGCTCTTGAAGGCGCGCGGCGGCACATTGTACGTAATCTTCCCTGCCACGGGGGGGGGGGGGTAGTTTTCTTACTTTTTCCATTTTTTTTGGGAGGGGGTGCATGTTTGTGCTTGTGCTCATGGTCTCATGGTTTCTTTGCTGTATTGCCTTGATTTGAATATGTTGTGGCAGCTGGGAGCCAACAAAATAGATACAGTGCTTTGCTGATCACTGCACAGAGCGATCAAGGCATCACGAGAGGTGTGAGGCATGGATGAAGTTCTTTATGGAGGTCAACGATGAGGACGTGGCCGCTATCGAGAACTTGCAGAAGGGCTTGGCAAACCGTGACGGACGAGGCATGCACGGTGAATTCATCCCAAAGTACGACTGGACAGTGCACCGATTTCAGAATATGGTCTTAAGCGGCCTAGAAGGCCACACTTTGAATGAGGACTATATGCCAAGGCTTGAAAGCGCATTCGAGCAAATGGTTCGTAGCGCTTGAGTTGCCATGGATGACCTCGCAAAGCTAGGCTATTTGTCAGATGCAGAATACAGGTGACTGTGACAACTCGAATCTGTTGTTGTTGTTTGGTGCTCGAAAGTCTCGCGTGAGCTGTATCCATCCGAGAGAAACCCGTCATTGTGCTTGAGTCGACCTGCTGGACCATGAGTTTGGGGGGTTTGGATGCCCTGCCTGTGGATTTCTCCCCTTTCACTGCGCGCCAAGCAAGTTTGACGGGGGAGATCAACTGTTTCCTGGAAGGAAGCACTTTGTGAGGAACAAGGCCCCCCCGTTTCATCAACCAAGGATTATAAATCCAACGGCCCATCGTCTCAGATGGGACGATGCTGGATGTACACTCTGTAAATAGCGCGAAATCGTCCGTGTGACGCCACGAATTCAGAAATTATGCGATGCCCTTGTGGCAAGCCGTGGGCAGGATCCCGTGTGGCTTAAGCCTGCAGCCAAGGCCTTGGGTCCGGAGGCCACTTTTCCAGCCTCTGGAAGCTGTCCGAGAGCTTCTGGAGAGGTGTCAGGGATCCAAAGCAACTTGCTAGGCGCTTGCAAGGTCGTTTCTGGTGTCGGGCCAGTGACTTTGTGTCTCAGGTTCGGAAGATCGCGAGCTTGCGCGCGAGCGTTCGCCCACGACTAGCGCCGTGATCGAGTGGCAGAAGCCTCCGACGGATCCGTGGTATGTGCTCCGTCATTATGTCCACTCTCTGAGGGTGGCCTGGCCCAAAGTGGCCTATGAAGTCATACCATCATAGCTCAGACTGCAAGAATGGCGGCATGAGATTCACTACAGTTTGCATTGTTTGACTTGCTTGTCGACTGAATCGAATTATGATGACTTTTCATTGTAATGTACATAGGAGTTGCTCTCCCCGATTCACAGTGCAGCGATCAAAAAGGCAATCCGTTTGCCACTTTTTGTATGCTTCCTGGCTTGTGGGGGAGGAAATGGCAGAATTTCCTGGTGAAGCAAACAGGTGTCTCGTTTTTTCCGGGGCTTTCTTTCAGGAACCAAAAGGGAAGACAGCTCATTTAGGGGGCCCAAGTTTCCGCTGGCCGGCGGCACACGGTCGCACTCGGTCGCTCCGGACCGCATGCCCAAAGGCCCTGAGCTTCTCGGGCAACGGGTACTACCTGGCGACCGGGCCACTTGGAGCTGGAAGACGGGGGGCTCGTCCTTGCGCGTTTTGAGACGTGTGCCGCCTCGACGAAACTGAACTGCCCCGGACGTCTCAAGGACACATGCCGGCTTACGACTGCGGCTCGGGGAGAGAGGCCACTCTGAGATTGATTTCAAGGGAAGCGAACCCACCGCACCACCTCCGTGGAGAACATGTTCCTTGACCGGGGCGTGGGGCCCGCACCCGCTGCTCAGGTCCAGTGATGGAAATGCGCCTTGGCAGACTGGGCTGGGAGAAGATTGTTGCATCAGCAAAGGGAGTGAATGGCTTGCAACGTGTGCACTGGATTCTTCATTTTTGCTGAGCAAGTGGCGGGAATTCAGTTGGCGAATCAACAAACTTTGGGGGACTGCCTTTGTGGTTTGGCGCCAATCAAGTTCCCGCATTCAAATCAACCCCTGATGAATGGAGGTGTATTCATTGTGTCATCAAGTCATGGATCCGGATCACTGGAGCCGGAGTCGAGGTGAACAGTCCCGTCTGCGCAAAGCGAAGCAAAGACTGCAGGTGAGCCACAATCAAAACCCGGGTAGATGAAGGTTAGCAAGGGATGATCCCAACCATAAATAGCTGCGGAATTCCGCCTTCTTACTTCTTGAAGCATGGCTCTGGGACTACGACCATTTCTGTACCGATCGGTTTTGAGTGCGACTCAGGTGAAGCTTTGGGATCTCCGGAAGCCGCTGAACATCCAGACGCCCGGGGCCCCGGAGGGCCAAGCCCTGAAATCTTCGGGAGAGCTCGGAGATGAAATCTGACGTCCCCGGGCGAAGAAGTGGACACAGTTTTTTTTGGACGGAAATGGGGGCATGGGTTTTTCAACGGGTTTCGGGGCAGAGTTGGCAGCATGTTCCAGCGCTGAATGGTCAGAAATCCATGCTGTTCATGTCCAGGGCTCCTTAAAAGCTATATTTTGCCCATTTGAAAAATGTGTTTTTAACACCAAATAAGGGGAAGCCACCATTTACAAGGCAATGCTCAGGTGTATAATGTAAGGATCCCTGATGTCCGTTCCAGCATTGACCGTTGAAATTCATAGGGATCAATGGATCACGCAGCAGTTCGTTGGCTCGTCAATACCAATCCATTGAGTGCACTGACGCAGTTGTGATTTTCGAATGGTTGTGCGGACCTTGAAAAATGGGTTGGTAGAGAACTCTCACCATTTCAATTGATGTGCACAGGGTCCATTCCAAACTCACGCCCATTTGGGTGTGCGAGGGCACCCTTTTTCTAGGCTGGTCTTTTCAGGATAACAACGTATTTTTTTCAGGATATTTTTTTCAGGATAACCCGAACCTTCCCCCCCTCCCCCCTTCCCCCCCTCCCCCCTCCCCCTCCCCTCTGCCCTCCTCACAAAAAAAAAAACACAAAAAACAAAAAAACTTCCCCCCCCCCCTCCCCCATGTCCCCAATGCCCCTCCCACCAGCTGCATGCCGCAGGGGCAGCCCTCCCCCCGCTCTGCCGCCAGTCTGCAGCTGGGCAGCCCCGTGAACGCCGTGGCCTTCGACGCCACAGGCGGCCCGCGGCCGGGTGAGAGGTCGCCAGACCTTTTTTTGGGAGCCGAAACGGTGGGTCCTGTTACATTGGCCAGAGAAAATGCATGGGGTTTTGACTGACTCAAACACTTGGGCGAGCATGTTTGAGCAGGTTCAACCAAGAGAAGTACCAGGTTTTGACTGTGACTCAAGTGTCTGAGCATGTTTGAAGGGGTTGTCTCGCTCAACGGTGAAGGACTGGGAGGGCCACGAGTTAAGCCGACCCGGGAAATCCAGGGACTTCTGTTAGCCAAGCTCAGGTTCAAGTGCGCAGTTGGGTCGTCTGGTGATTCAATGGGAGGACCTAAATGTTCCAAAGGGCAGTTGATGTTGCAGCGGGTTGCTGGCCGGGCAGTTCAATTCAGCAAGCCGTGAGGGCAAAACGAGGCCCCGGAACAGGTTCCACGGCAAACTCCTTTGGGGAGCTTCGGACGCCGCATGTTTCATACCATTGGGCTCATGGCTTTACCGTCCCGCGAAAGTTGGGCCTTGCCGGCAAGCATGACACCGGCGCCTTGCCAGCGGCTTGCAGAATTGGAGCGCAGAGTTTTGGTTTGCACCCAGTATCATAAGCAAAGAACTTTAGCCCGTGGCCCCAAGGCCGCACCTGGTCGTCGCGCGGGTTTGTTTTTGCTCCCTGAAGGCGTGGGTACGATTTGGCAGAAACCTTTTCTACAAACTGTTTGGTTTTTAGGATCCGCCAACGAAAGCTTTGGGGCTGCCACAGCCTCTCGGAGTGGTTGAGCAGCTCGCCGGGAGGGAGGCTGGTTCCAAGGCTGTTGGCAATGTCATTTGGTCAACTATGGGGTTGTAATTAAACACCTGTTTCTGTAAAGAATAGGTTAAAACCCCTGTAAATTCCTGTAAGCGTTCGGTTAATTGCTATAGGTCTCCTAAGAACTTGTCAGGTCAGTACCTCTCGGTGGGCGCCGAGGCGGTGCAGGCCTGGAGCGGAAGTACTAGTTTCAGATGCATGTCCTGTGGCTTTCTTTAGGAAGGCTGACAGGTTGATTGGTGGCTTGGTTGGTGGGTTGGTTGGTTGGTTGGTGGCTTAGTTGGTGGGTGGGTTGGGGGGTTGGGAGGTTGGTGTTTTGTCTGATACAATGTTTCTTTTTGGTTTCCCCAACCATACAAAAGAGGGGATCGGTTTTGACAGTCCACCTGTAGTTTCTGTATCCCACTGTTTTTTGCAGTGGACTCGGGATTTGGACAAACCCACATGAAATTGGGTTTTCCTTGCCGCTTAAAACCAGGCTGACAAGGGTACCGAGTTTCAAACACACACGCACACACACACACACATTCAGTGGGGTAGGTTCCTTACAGCATCTCAAACTGTGGTTATCAAGAGACTCGCGGTGATAAGTGGGTAAATAGGTTCCTCTACAACAATGGTTGCAATCTGCTTACCTAGGTTGAACATCCAAGTAGAGTTGATGGGCAATTCGCCTGCCCTTGCAAAGGTAGTGCACAGACTGCTTGAAGGCTACTTTCCTCTTGGAAAACAACGTGCACAAAGCCAACGGATGGTTTGCAGAATCATCACTCGCCGATCGATTTTTGGGCCTGTCAGATCTACAACTTTGCGTCCAAAGCGAGCCTGGCGGAGGCTGTGACCTTGAAGGACCGGATTGACCGGGGTACACCAAACGGTGGAGATGTCTGTCACAGTGAGCAAAGCGTTTTTTTCTACCAGCTTATCGACTTTCCAGAAAAAATATGAGAAACTGACAAGGTTCTGCCGAGTCTAGCGTTGGAGAGAAAGACATCGGCGGGATATCCAATTTTGCTACGAACACCCAGGGACAATCAAGCGTTTTCAAGTCCATGTGCGGAACATGTCGTACTGTTCGTGGCTCATATTTTGGACTAGAAGGCTGATCATGCTTTGGCATGATGCAACAGGTGAGGCCTTGCCTAGGTTTTAGTGGCATGTGCCACCCGTATGGCATTGCACGCCACATATTGAGCCGGGCAAGGATCACAGCGGCCCAGTGATGGGCGTTTGCTTCAGCCAGCACGCCCGATCTCTGGCAACGGTGCGGCTTGGCGCAACGATTGTGTCTTGTTTTCATGCCGGAAATGGTCGACACATCGGTTGTCCCCAACACGAGGCTCGGTGGTTTGGGGCAGCTTTCGAGGGTTCAAAAGCAGGGTTCTTTTGGACTGTTGGGGGCCCTCCACCTGGGCTTCTTCCTATGTGTTTCCTCTATGTTCGGCGCTTTCCTTCCACTCTTTTGGCCTTTAGTTTGGGCGCTTTCCTCTATTTCCTCTATTTTCGGTTTCCTCTATTTCCTCTATTTTCGGCGCTTTCCTTCTACTTTTTTGGCCTCCCGTTTGCAGGCTTGCCTCGTTTTTTGGTCTTAAGGGCAGGTCCCAGCCTCTCTTAGGTCCATGGATCGGACCCTGAAGATCTTCCGCTGAGATTCGGGCCGGAAAATGGCGAAAAGGCGTGGTTGGGACTTCACGTGTGGATGGGCTCGAGGTCTGGACAAAGGGAGAGCTGGCGGATTTGTTTTGTGTTTTGCAGTTGTGTTTAAAGGGAAGCTTGGCGGAGTTGTTTCGGCCCAAGGGTCCTCACCGCTCAGGCGAGTTTCTTTCGGAGCCGAAATATCTTTTGCAGATTTTCGCGGTTTTGAGGACGCTTGTAGAATTCCACGGGCTGTGGCGAGCAAATCCCGAGTTCTTGCGGGAAGGCACGCCATGAGGCGTGGTGTTGAGGACCACAGAGTTGGATCTTTTGGCGACCCTAGCAGACCAGCCTGAGTGAAGCGGCAATCCCGCGAGTGGTTGGCCAGGCCTGTGCTGACTGCATTGAGATATGCTCCCATGATGTCGCGCTCTTTTTTCTTTTGGTGATGCGTTTTCCTGGGGGTGGGGCAAGATGGTGGCGTTTCCTTTTTTCTTCAATGATCCAGAGATGTTCATTATGCTTTCTTTGCTCGTAGGCTGATTCGTTCAATTTTTTCACATCGTTTTTAGATTTCTGAGCTTGTTGTTTGTCCTGATATGTTTAGCATTCCTGGCCCATCCCCGAATTTGCATGGAAACTCTTGACTTCACCAACTTCATGCGTGGTTCTTTGTTCATCTCTAAAAGACAGCGGGTGAGGGGGGGGGCGGTTCACACCAAAGTTTTTGTTCTGCAAAGTGCAGGGCCTGGCCCAATTCAGGATGCATGGCGCGAGCTTCCTGAGTTTAAGGGGTGCACTGGCATGCCGAACAGCCGGCGAGCTGCGAAACGGTTGGTGTTTTACACATTTCCGGACCAAAAGCACGTTCATGCTGCGTTCCTTGCTTCTTTGTAGATGAGAGCTTTCCCGGCCCATAGGCAGGGTCAGGAGATTTAGAGGTCTTGGGATCGCAGATGTCCAAGAACTATGGCCATGTTGAGTCCAGGATCATGTTTTACATGGCAATGCTTGCCACCCTTGTGTGCAAACGGATTGGCTACAAGAGCAGAGAAGGGACGTATTTGGTTTTGATGTGTTAATTCAGGTACCTTGAGCGTGCTTGCTGTTTCGTCGCAAAGTGCACTGCCACCCCGACAAGGAGGGGACAGGTTTCGGTGAAATGTGAATGGGTCAAAATCAAACCAGGGGACCGCAAATTCTAGTCCACGTTTCCATTTGCCAGGGCAACTCATTTTGGTTGCATATTTTTTGACAACCACAGCCAAATATCAACAGGCACGGAGGACATGCTGATCACATGCCCACGTTTGCGTTGACAAATCCTATTCTGGCCATCGGGAAAGGAGTCGTGGCTCGATGGCCATCTCGCGGGGTCAAAAGAGGTGAGCCCGTCTGTGGAGTTGTCGAAATTCTCGTCCTTGGTAGGCGCGACTTGAAGTGCCAAGTGCCGGGTGTTTGAACTTCGACGCCCCTGATCCACGCAGGGCCTCGGTCCACGCTGCCGCATGGGCAAGACTTCCTTGAAAGATTCGTGATTGCTCCAATTCTCCTTGCAAGCTCGCGCTCGTGCAAGTACTGTGTGCAAGCTTGTGCGATAGATCCAGCCGAAGAAAACAGTCCTCCCCCGGCAAACCGGGCTCGTTTGTGGCTCCAGCTTGGTGCGGCAAGACCGAAGACCGGTCGGGCGGGCCAAATCGAAGCGGCTCGGTAAAGCATGTTCTTAGCCTTCAGAAGCTTGAGCCGATGCTTTCTTCCAATTGGGACACATGCAGACCGCTTGCATCGTTGGTCTTTGCTCACAGATATCCTCTTTGCAGAAAGCCTAGACTCACAAAACCAACACACCTCCGCCACTGTCTGGGCAATGGAGCCCAACAAAGCGTCCATGAATTTGTAGGAACAGAATCCACTCTTGGGAAAGGACATCCTTTTGTTTTTTTCTTTCTCCCCGTTGCCTTTTTTTTTCGTTCTTCTTTCTTTTCTTCTTTTCTTTTTCAAGCGCACGCAGAGCATGGGGAGCCTCCGAGCCTCCGAGACTATCCACATGCGGCTTGGATGGTGCTAAAAGGACCAGGTTTGCATTGGCTTCAGCTTGACCCCAGATTCGCCATGGCCTAGCGAGCTCGGCTCAAAGAAGCTGCAGGCGCTGAAAGGGAATGGGTGCAGGTGGCAGAGAGTTCCCGAGCGGGAAAGATGTGCCTTCGGCGTCGCCAGAAAGTGAGTCCAGTTGAGTGACTTTGGTCCAGATACGACTCCTGTAGTGAGAATCCCTGACATTCAGTTTGTAGATTGTGCTGGTTGCAACAAATGCCGCCGCTCCAATGCGCAGCTACAAGACTGGACGCCTTGCTCCAAACTGCGGTGGTTTGGGGATACGGGGTTGGCTTCAATCACTCCCGACAGCCTGTGGCTCGAAGGTTGACTGTGGACCAGGTAGATATGTGGATGAACAACGCTTGTGTGTCTTTGCCTCCATCCAAGTTCTGGCCTGGTCAGATGGCTTGCGACTTCGAGGAGCGGGCCATGCGTGTTTTCAGCTGCTAGTGGAGTCTTCTCATGGGAAGTAGCGCAGCATTATTTGGGCATGTGGCACACAAGCACGCATCGGGAAGTACCAGCCGGTAAGCGAGCACTTGTTTGGGCACAGGAACCATTGTTGTGCATGCGATGGGCTTCAAGCACAACAAACAAAGTAAGGTATTCATGGAACTAGGTAGAAGTACTACCAAAACAACCCAGAGAAACGACTGCAAGCGGATTAAACTAATGCACCTGGTCAAACATGAGCTTGGGAGGTTATTGGGTCAATATTCGGGATCCAGCGTGGCTTGCACCACATTGGCCATTTGGCAGGGCTCTAGCCTATCCTTTGGACAACACCAGATTCTGACATAGTTGGAGTAAGACTTGCTTTTCGGGCAAGCAATTTGAAGTGGCATCTTGCGATTCGTTTGTATGCATATATATATATATACACGCACCTGTTTTGTCGAGGCGCTAGTGAGTTCCTTTTCCAGTTGAGCGGCGTGCAAAACCTCCGTGTACATGGTTAGTAAGAGTCGTGTCATATCGACCTGTGCACAAGCAAAAAATCCATGTGCGTAAGGTGGCGTAAGCTTTTGGCGAAAGCAACACCTGCAAATGTGTTGCGTAAGGAAACACTCCACGCGCGTAAGTTGGCGTAAGCTAGTGGCGTAATCAAAATGATACGACTTAGCAAATCATGACACGTTTAGGACATGGCTCAGTTGGCAAGGAAAAGCAAAGGGAAGCCAATGCCTATGAAGCCGATAGGTTCGCAAGGGAGCTGAAAGGCCCAAGTGGGAGTTGGGGTCAGTCCCTTTGACATCCCCATCGCGTCGTCCCAAGAAAACATGTCCAGGAGCCCATGAAGGTAGACTTGAACTCGGTGCAGGGAAGCGGAAGAGGACTGCGCTTCGGGAAGGAGTTGAAGTCGGGAAAACTTCCTTTTTTTCCACAGTTTTTTTTTCCCCACTGTTTCTTCTTTTTTTTTTCACAGTGTTTTTTTTCACAGTCTTTTTTTCCCCCCTCCACCAGGGTTCCACCAGGGTTCACCAGGGTTCCACGGGGTTCTGCGAGGGCTCCGGGAGCACTAAAAAGAGCACCGCATGCTGTTGGGGATATCACCTGAGCTTATTCTGATTGCTTGTTTTGGATGAGCGAGGAGCGATTCATCGCTTCGGGCAGAATCATGTGTTTCCTGTCTAGTTGCGCAACATCTTTAGAGAGCTTGATTCCAATGCCGACTGAGAGCGCCCGTTGCTTGTTGTCAGTTCCCAAACGAACATATCGCACACGAGATGCGTCACTCCATCTGCAAGCGTTGCATTGAAAACTGAAACCGTTTTCTGTTGCTTGAAGGCTCTTCTGGCGCTTGGATCGATGAGTATGGCCTCCACCCCAGCAGCTGCCTGTGGCAGGGAGTTACCAAGACGCTTGGCTTTTTCAGATGGCTGTGGGTCAAAACCCATGGTACCATTTTTGGGGCAGGTGCACCACCCAGTTTAGTCTATTTGAGTGGGGATTGGGATGTTCACTGGGGGTACGGGGTTTTGACCCATGGCCAGATTTTTGCTTGCCTGGTCTTCAGCTTACTTGCGGCAGCTTCAACTGCTTTGGGCCTAACGAGGCTATGCCTGTGCCAGTTGATCTGCTGTTGGGTTATGTTTCGTCTGTGACCCATGTTTTTCGTAGCATTCTCGCGGGACATGGGTTTTCGCGAGGATGATGATCCGGAACATTCCAGCGAGATGCCAGGAGCAGGAGCTGTCAGACGTGATTAGGATGGTCACCACCAACTTTGATCTGCAGATGCCGAAGGGCGCCGGTCGCAAGTGCAAGGGCTATGCCTTCGTTCAGGCTGACAGTGTTACCATGCAGCACCTGGTCAAGGCCTTGTGGATGACAACGATTCCCGCAAGGCAGAGCACGAGGCCATTGAAGATTCATCCGACCAGCTTGGGGATGGAGTGAAAACGCAAAATTTCCGCGCGGGCTGTGCACAGGTGCGGCATGATTCACAATGACAGACCAACGTGACGATCCCAGTGCCTGATGCACATTTTGAGCGCTGGCAACACATGGCCGGTGACTTTTTTTGCGATTTTCACCGATTTTCACCGAACACAATATGGGCTGGTGCCATCGGGAATCAGGCCTATGGTTCTTTTTACAGGTTCTGGATGGTGTTAAATCCATGAAGTACTGTCAGTCGACGGAATACTTGAGGTGAGCAAAGTTGTGTGACCAGATTCCCGCTGAGCATGTGGCCCAACACCTCGATAGGGGAAGTTCCGCAGGAACCCTGTGACTGACTGCCCATTTGACATATGCAAGAAGTTGTAGAAGATCCAAAGGACTTAAGGACCATGTGCAAACATCTGAAGAGAAAAACCGTACAGCACCAGCGCCATATGGCGTGCACATGTCGGCGCCCTTGTCATCTAAATACAGATGCTCTCACCAGGCTTTCTGATCAGCTTGCCCAAAATGAGTCAATAAACATCATGAAGCGACAACAAAAGACAAGTCCCTTTCTCCAGACATTTCAGGCAGAGGGACAAGCACACAAGCACAGAAGCACATCAACATTGAGCACAAATGCAAACCAACACAACAATGCACAAGCGCAGAAACACATCGCGCACACAAACCAACTCACCTGCACAGATGCTCACAACAGAAGCATGAGCACGCAAGCACGCGGCAACGCAAGCATACAAGAAGACAAGACTGCGGGCGCGCATACACAGACATTTGTGCGCACATGCACGCGTGCACACGTGCACAGCTGCGCACAAAGCCTCACGAACAAGAAGGCACGCCGGCGCAAGACCCTTCACACACAATCACCCTACACACGCACACAAGCGCGCAGAGAAGCAAGCGTCATACTATTATATACATGCTCAACATTTGCTTGATGTTTGTGCATGCTGCATGCTGCGAAGCACTCAACCACCATACTCAGAGCCCTTTACGCACTCGTTCACCTGCTTGCCCCCCTAATTTGCTTGCAATTTCCAGATTGCCTGGACAACCATTGACTTCACAAGGCCCGCCAGACCTGCCAGTCAGCTGATCAAACGAGTAACCACAGCGTGCCCCATTGGCGACGCTTCTGGGCAACTCAGTCACAGGCCTCACTACAGCTTTGGCTTCGCGAGTGGGTCAAGGCTGTGTTTTGAGCACGGATCACCACTTTATTTCCAGTCTGGGGCCAGTGCGGGATGGCAGTCCTGGAGTTTTGAAGTCGTGCTTCAAACGATGTCGCTGTTCATTTTGTGTTCGAACCAGGCAGCCGTAGTGGGGTACAGCCCGCTTGCGCCCATTGAGTGACCCCAGGCAACGTATCACCATTATAGTTTGACTTCTATGTTTGGTCGGACCGTCAGCGAGACAATGGCAGTCCTTTCTGCTTCTTTCTTTCGCGTGTTGCAAGGGTTGATACCCTCTCCTTGGCATCCGCTGTTCCTTTCGCAAAGAGGCGGGGCGAGCAGGAGTCACTCGTCTCTTTGAGTGGAAACACATATTAGGGCAAAGCGGTCGAGGTATCTAAGGGTAATGTGCGCACAACTTTTTTAATTTGCAAGATTCTCACAGATGTTTGTTGCGGCGTTTCTATTGGAGGGTTCAAACCAAGGTGCCCACTCAGAGCTTTCCGCCATTCAACACAAAATTGTGACACTGAACAGAGACATCCGCGCCTTGGAAAGCCAGTTTCTATTACCACTATGCCGCAGTTTTTGTTCCCATTCGTTCACAATTTCCTTGTTGGCAATGTTATTGTAGAATTGCAGAGCCCCATGCAGCTCACGTTGCAGCGCAAGTTGGTTGTCCACATTCTTGGTTGAAGCTCTTGTATTTTTCCGGGTTCCGAGCAAGTCCTTTCTTGTTGGCCGGCCGGGTCTTTGCAGACGAAGGGCCGGGGGAATTCTGGAAGGCCCATATAAGCCATGAGGCTGGCCCCCTCTATTTTCTGGCCAGCGTCGAATGATTGCAGGCCTGCGCAATTCCAATTCTGGGCTCCTTGGTACATTGAAACCGTGCGGGAACCCTCATGACTCGTTTTCGAACGGGGCAGTTGGTTGCCCCGGTGTCCGACAGCACGCCAGTTGCGTATGTGTCAAAATCCGACCCGCAAAAACCGGGGTTCCTTTTGATTTCCCGGAAAACCAATCTCCTTTGATGCACAAAGCACAATGGAGATGTGGCTGTGGCAAATCTTCCGACCCTGGCGGGTCCCTATTTTGAATACTTTAGACGCTCCTGGCCCAGACTCGAAGGAGTTACATAAGGCTGTGCCGCATGCTCTGAAGAGCCTCAGTTGGATTCCCAAGCATCATCCGCTTCGGCCAAGTCGCCAGGAAACTGATGTCCGCGCCATTTGAGCGTGAATGCGGAGGGCAAAGGCGACCGACATAACTTGCATGTCCTTCATCGCAAAAGGCGATTCGAGGGTTTCTCAAATAGTCAAGCCCTTGTGGTTGGTTGGTAGAAAAAAAACCCAAAGGACGCCAACCAGACCACAGGCCGACTATTTTGAGAAACACCTATCTGGACGAAGCAAGACATCGAGACAGGGGTTTTCTAGCTCACGTATTGCGGTGACTCCGCAGTGGACGCGTGAGGATTTCAATGGAGCTGCTTTGCGCATGCCGCCGGGACAAAAGGCTTCAAGGGAACCGCAAGAGAAGGGGCAAGACATGCAACAGATTTGGGTATGGGTCAAAATTAAACCACCAGGAAATGGACCGCAGGTCTTAGTCCATGTTTCCATTTACCGATCGGGCAACCCATTTTGGGGTGACCCTATTTTTGACCACCACACCCATTTATGGACAGGTGCCGTGCGAAGGAGGCTTTTCCTCAGACTTGTGAGTGCCGAATCTTCGCATGGCAGAGCTTGCAATGCATCAGGGTTCTGAGTCCTGAGCTTGTCAACAGAAGGCGCGTGCAACGAAGGCGTCATGGCAAGCAGAAGGGTCTTTGACTTCATGAGTTGGGGCTGTTCCAAGAGACATGTTCATTCTTTCATGCGTGGGTGAGAGTTCCTATGGGTAGATCAGTTGTTGTTGGTCTTTACGTGTCTTTGCGTTGGGGTACATTTTTTGAGGTGGCTGCAAAGGGAAGCTGCAGGGGACGCCCCAGCTATCGTGGGGTTCCCCGCAACCAGAGACGGATGGAAAGACCCCATATGGCTGCTCCATGGCCGCCTTACCTCAGAACCAAGCATCCTCTTCTCCTTAGATGTCCCCAACCACTGAACCGCATAGTGGTCAGTCGTCCTCCAGTCGTCGCGCGGGTCGTTTTAAACGAGGCTGTGAGTTGAAGCTGATGTCACTCCAGTCACACTGAAACTCTAGTGCTACCTTCCCCATTCTTTCCAGGGATCCGGATCTTTCTAGAAAGCCTCCGGAAACCCATGGAAACGGCCAGTTTTTGGAAAGACCGAGGGTTGGAAAGAATGATCCTTCTTTCTAGAAAACCTCCGTAAACCCATGGAAACGGCCGGTTGGAAAGACCAAGAATGGTTGGAATCAGCCCTTAGAGAAGCCGTGGGGTTCCCCGCTTCGCTCGCCGGACATCCACGTCAGGTGCCCCAAAGCCGGGCGCGGAAAGGCTGCGCGCAGTGTCTCGTTGCTCGGAGTTGGGAGGCTCGCTCCCAAAAAACGACCGGCCTTGGAATCGAAGGCCTTTGGAAGCCGAGTTCACAGGCGCTTCCCTGGGACATGGCGGCATTTCGGGCATGGTTCTGAGTTTGGAAGTTAGGCCATCCATCCAAAATCGGAGAGGTTCAGCAGTTCAGAGCTTGGGATAGATTTGTAATGCACTTGTCAGGCACGTGACCAAGAAACCAGAAACGTCACAGACAGGAAGGCTTTTGCTTCTCTGTGAGAGGCTCTTTTTAGCGTTCACCGGTCACCACGGGCTGATCCTTTGGGGAATTTTTCGAGTGGATGTGTGTTTTTTCCTTGGTAGTTCCCAGCCATCCGGTTCCTTAGCTTTTTAGCCTTTTAGTGTTTGGTGGGGATTTCCTTTAGTGTTTGGTGGGGATTTCCGTTTAACCCACTGAAAGTTAAACTTGGCGGGGGATCTGAGGACAGCCCAGTTTTGATGGTTGTTTGTTCAAACTCGGGGGACAGTTCTCTTTGCCATGGATGCTGACATGTGTCCCATGTATCCTGTTTGTTGGCGAGCTTAGCGAGACGCTTTGCATTGACCTGCCAATAAAGTCTTCAAAGACTCTCAATTCCCAAGTTGCAAAATTGCCCTCTTGCCCGAAGAAGCATTTGCACGTTGCTCGCGTTGCTAATGCAACCTGATGCAAGAACCGTTCTCAAAGCGGGAATTTGGGTGTCCTTTTTGAGGGGATCCCCAAGAAGAGTGGTTTTCCTTTTGGTTTCCCTTCAAAACCACAAGAAAGGGTACCCTCCAAAGAAGATCCCCATTTTGTCGCCCACGTGGTTGCTCCATTAGTCTTGACGCAAAGCTGCAAAGCTTATGATAGAAATGATAGAACTACCAATATTCGTCAGCATCAAGCCAAATTTGTGCAGTGACTATCCAGAATGAACTGAGAACTTCTGGTGATACCGAGCTTAGGGGGTAAACCGGCAGCTTACCCACGGCTTGTTGGGGAATGATTGTTTGCTGGAAGACCTGGAACTACGCCTCGTTTCTAAGACGTTTCTAAGGTTTGCCCGATGGCCGGCCTATCCTCCGGGCTGCCGGGAGCCAAGCCTGCGGATTCGATCGACACTCGAGCGGCCTGTGTTTTCTTTGGGAACAAACTGGGGCCCACGAGGTTTCCCAGGACCTGGGGCAGCTTCGCCACTCCGAGAATCTGAATGCCCAAGAGGGGCCATGGCTGAAGTTTCAGTTCCGGGACCGCATAGCACAGGGGCGGAATATTAGCCATGCCATGCAAGTTTCATCTCGCTTCCCACTGATGCTCCGCCGGATTTTCCTACTTCTAATTGCAGGCAGGAGGACACGGCTTGTACTGTCTTGGTTGCATTCTTCTTTGCATCCAACCCACCATTCACAGCTCGGCCTGTGTTGCCTTGGACGCCGAATGGATGGAGGATGATCTATATAATCTGTTTCCAACGCTCACTGGACCAATTTCAGAAACGCCCCAGAAACCACCAGAGGCAGTGCTCGTGTAGGATCTGTGATTCTGCGTATGTTTCACATTCCTGTCGTGGGCATTGCCCCGAAGCTAGCCCGAAAGGAAACAGCCCGCAGGACCTGGTAGAGGCAAACGTCCGCCGCGTTTAGGACCAAGCAGGTTTCCAAGAAACACGTGAATTCTGACAAAGAGCTGTGGTTTCTTTTCGTGGCTGGTGGGGCATCGGGGCGTAGGCGCAGCGCGTTTCGCCTCTCCAGGGCCACGAGGTTCGAGAGCTCGGGGCTTGAAGGCGCCAAGTTGCGCTTGCCATGGCGGAGGCGGAGCATTTGCTGCAGCTCAGGGCGTTGCTGACGCCCCAGGTGCGAGAAGTTGGGGACCTGTTGGGTGGAGGATCCCCCGTTTCCGAATGTCCAACTTCTAGGATTTCATATTTCCTTGACCTCGCGACCCGTTTCTGACTTGGCCACACTTCGTTGAACTTTGTTTCTGGCAGATTGGCGGAGCCAGAGGTCTTAGTTTCGACAGAACTCGGGCGGATTCCCTAAATCTTGCAAGTGCACCATCAAGCCATCCTAATTTACAGTGTTTCCCTTGTTTCCCACTTGCAATTTGGGGAATCAACCGTCCAAACCCTGGTTTTTCGGCGCCTCGAGGTGGTAGAGAAGGTTGAGAAGCCGGCGAAGGTGGAGGAGGGGCCAGACTGGACCAACCGCTACTGTGCCTCGGTTCAGATGTCGAATTTGTGCTCCCGCTTTGTGGGTGCGGGTTGCCAGCCTTGCAACAGATGGGCTGGCGGATTTGTGGGTGTTTGTTTCTGACAGCCGTGCAACTAACTTCTTGGACAATCAACTTCGGCCTGCACATCGTGCGCCGCAGGTAATGTGCTTCATTTCGAGCCATTGCGGTAGCTGACCATGAGCCCCCAGTTGGCTTGGTGCTGCGACTGTTGGGCCTTGGGTTGGAACGTTTGATGTCTGATTCTGATCGTTTGCCTGTACAGTTTTCCCCGGGGAGCAATGCATGTGTGGGTGCGTGTGTACAAAATGTCGGAGCTTGAAGGCGCAGGATTCTTGGCCATGCGTCGAGGGTGGGGGAATGGCAGATGAACATGCGAGGAATCAGCACGTGAGAAGCCGCCAGGGTTGAGGGTTGGTGCTCTGAATCTTTGTGTTTCTCAACATCAAGGCGTGGTGGACGCTTCATCGCCTTCAACGCCTTTAGGGTCCTTGCGGCCGCCGCTGCGGGCGGAGGTGGCGGAGGCCCTGCAGCGCGCCAAGTTCGACCCGCTCTTTCCCATCCAGGTGGGAGCTGGGGTTTGGGGGGTATGGGTTTGTCCCATAGGGAGCGCCTGGGGCTGTTGGATGGGAGAGTTGGTCCGAGAAAAAAGCACCTGGACAAATTGGGCTTGAGAGGAATATTGGGGGGGACAGGGCGGCTTCCGGACGGTTTTCCGGTGGGATTTCTCCAAATAGGACTCCTTTTGGTTGATCGGAAAGGAGCCAACCAAAAAACCCTCTGGTTTGTCCAATCTGCCAGTACGGAAGCCACATGTTCTGATCCTGGCCTAGGGGTTGCGGGTTGGGGTTGTTTTGGGAGTTGGATACATATATGCTACCCACTTCCGTACTTCCGTACCTCCGTACCTCCGTAGCTCCGTAGCTCCATACCTACATACCAACACACCTACATACCTATACCTACGCACTTACGTACCTACACAGCTACATACCTACATACCCCACCAATGGTGGTTTCCTTTTGGCTTCCCTTCAAATGGGGTACCCTCAAACAAGACACACCCCCACATATTTACATACCTACATACTACCTACATACCTACATACCTACCTGCCGCCTACATACGCACACACATGCATGCATGCATGCATGCATAGATAGATAGATAGATACATACATACAGACAGACAGACAGACAGACAGACAGACAGACAGACAGACAGACAGACAGACAGACAGACAGACAGACAGACAGACAGACAGACAGACAGACAGACAGACAGACAGACAGACAGACAGACAGACAGACAGACAGACAGACAGACAGACAGACAGACAGACAGACAGACAGACAGACAGACAGACAGACAGACAGACACACAAACACATATACATACATACATACATAACATAACATAACATAACATCACATAACATAACATAACACAACACAACACAACATTACATTACATTACATTACATTACATTACATTACATTACATACATACAGACAGACAGACAGAAATACATACATACATACATACATACATACATACATACATACATACATACATACATACATACATACATACAAACACACACATACACACACACATACATACAGACAGACAGACAGACAGACAGACAGACAGACAGACAGACAGACATACATACATGCATACAGGCAGACAGACAGACAGACAGACATACATGCACACATACATACATACATACATACATACATACATACATACAGACATACACACAGACACACACTTACACACATACACACATACATACATACATGCATGCATACATACATACATACACACACATACATACATACATACATACATGCATACATACATACATACATACATACATACGAACATACACACTAACATACATTACACATATACACATATACAGCATACACAGATAGTCTTTTGCACATACCCACATATACCCGTACACACATGTACACATACATACACATATAGAAATATTTACACATACACACATACGCATGTACACATATACGGCATACGACACTCAGACAGACACACATACGTACGTACGTACATGCGTGTATGCATACACATACACATACATATACATACAATTACATACACCTGTACAAACACATATGCATACATACAATTGAATAAAGACACATGCACATACATGCACATGCATGCACATGCGTCTACACATACACACGTACAGACAGACAGACAGACAGACAGACAGACAGACAGACAGACAGACAGACAGACAGACAGACAGACATACATATACATACATACATGTACATACATACATACATACATACGTACGTACGTACGTACATACATACACACCTACTTACATACATAACCTACATACCTACATCCCTACGTATCTACCTACCTACCTACTTACCTACATACATACCTACATACATACATGCATACATACACATGCATGCATACATACATACATACCTACAGACATGCATACATGCATACATACATACATACATACATACATACGTACATAAACTCATAAATACATGCATACATACATACATACATACATACATACATACATACGAACATAGATAGATGGATAGATACATACATGCGTATGTACGTACATACATACATACCTACGTACGTACGTACGTACGTACATACCTACCTACCTACCTACCTACCTACATACATACATACATACATACATACATACATACATACATACATACATACATACATACAATATATACATACAATATATACATACACATATACACATACATCCATACACACATACACATATGCACATATATACACATGTACGCATATGGACCTATACACATACGTAAACACGTACACGCGTACACACATACACGCGTCCACACACACACATATACATACGTTTGTACATGATATACATATGGACATATATATATATATACATAATATATATGCATACAGGTATACCTAGATACAACAGTGTACACACGCGTATGTGCACAAGGGTTGCCCGAGTTGGGTGGAAGCAAGTGGAGGCAACCGGAGGTGCATGACCAGGTGGGGGTAGACAATTTGGCCAACCGAGACTTTTGCACTGATGATTGCATTGTTTACAGAATGTATGAGGGCTGCGGTTTCTCGAGCCAAGTGTGGAACTCAGAATCAAAGAGGGTGAATGGAACCGGATTTTGGCATTGAGCCGCGTTGGCCATGTAAGCCACCGGAGGACAGGATTGCCGGAAGATGTCCGCGAAGACGTATCGGAGGGCTCATATGCCGAACGTCGACAGTAGGGTGAGTCATGCCATGTGTTCTTCCCTTCATGCTTTGATTATGTGGGGGTCAAGGCAAAAGACAATGAAGGGACGATATACCTCTTTTCCAACCATCACAGGGATAGAAGAGTCTTTTGCATCAGATGGGCTCCTGTCCACTTCACGATCGTTGGAACCGGGGCAAAGGATTGTTTGAACAAGGTCCAACGGTGGTTTCCTATTGGTTTTATGTATGCACTGGCGAACACCAGGTTTTGCCAAACAAGTCCCCCGAAAAACGGGTGTGGGTGTGTGTGTGTGGTAAAACTCCCCTGCGTGTGTTTCCTTGAAGTTTTTTCGCGAGGCCGCTGTGATCCCTTTGCTGGCCAAGTGTGCAGAGAGCGCCCGCGACCCCGACTCTGCTTATTGCCGCTGTGGCGAATGGCGAAGGGAATTCTCGGCGAAGAAAGGTCCCAAGCAAGTGGTTCGACGGAGGGAAATCCAAATGTGCGCTGCAGGGTACCAATTAGATTTCACACCCAAGGCAAACGAACCAGGAAATGGGTTTAAAGAACCAGAACATGGACACCTCAGGGGAAACCAACATAAGGAGGTTTAAGCAACAGTTGTTAAACCATGTTGCAACAAGAGGCTGGCTCAAAAATGGGATACAAGGTCATGTGCTCTTCAATCCCAGGGAGCCAAAGAAACAGGACCCTTGGAAGGTGGATGGTACTTCATTATTTGGTGCCCATCCTTCTCCTCCATTTTCTCTTCCCCTCTTCCCCTCTTCCTCCTCCTCCTTCTTCTCCTTCTTGTTCTCCTCCTCCTCCTCCCTCTACTCGTATCCCCACTCAGCCTGGGATTGATTCGATCGGCTGCAGGACAGCATAGCTAAGGTTGTGACGTTTGCGTGGCAGCACCTACTGGACAGGGAAAGACCTTGGCGTATGCGGTGCCCATTGTGCAGGTGCCGTGGCATCAGTCTGGCATTTGCTTGGCTGCTATGTCGTTTATGTCCTTTTTCAGCATGTCGGACATTTCGTTTTTGGAACGTTTCATTTTTTGCACAGGCCGGCACCAAGTTTGGGTTGTGTCATGTGTTGAATTGCTGGCAGTATCCAACGGCTGATTAACCTGGCATGTAGGATTGGCTTCGGATGTGATACGATCAGAAGACCAAACGACTGGGCTACGTTCTTCAATTCTGCATCTATGATTTCCGTATTTAAGTCGGGAATCTGGCGTCCATCATATTTTGTTCTTCTTCGGTGCACACGTGAAAGGGGACGGAAAGGGACCATATTTGTTGGGATTGGACAGCTTCAAGGATTCCAGAGTTGACGATTGTGGGTTTTGCTCTTGGCCTTCAATTTGTTTATCTTTGCAAATGCAAATCGTTCCTTCCCGTGCAACCAAGCGCATTCTGCTAACCCAAGCCATGGCTTGCTGTGGGGAAGTTGGTGACGTCGAGCCAGGGATTCCACTCTTGGCTCCATCAGAGCGTCTGTTTTTTTGTTTCCTTGAGGATAGCTTTTTTCGGTTGGTTTGAAGCCATGCTGCTGCAAGACAGGATTGTTGGCTTGGCGGTTTGACGCATGCCCATCTGTTCACGTTTCGGGGGACATGAACATCGCCAATACAATTTTGCCAGCCACACATGGGTCACAATCAAAACCCGGGTAGATGAAGGTTAGTAAGGGGCAGTCCCAGCCAGAAATAGTTGCGGACATCCGCCTTCTTATTTCTTGAAGCATGGTTCTGGGTAGACCAATTGAATACCGGGCTTTGAGCAAGTGACTCACATGGGCCGGAGCGCGACAAGCGAGGCGCTGCTGGATCGACTCCGGCCTGCGGTGCGGGCTCTGGTGCTGCTGCCCACCAGAGACCTGGCCATGCAGGCCACTCGCGCGGAGCTTGGGGTGAGGTTGGGCAAAATGGGTTTCAACAACGAGTAGCAGACGCCGGGGGACAGCTAGAGGAGGTTGGAGTAAAAGTGGTTGAAGCAAGTTTGAACGAGGGCGTGGACCCTTGGAGCCTTCCCCATGGGGCTTTGCTCAAGCAATGAGTGCGACCCTAGTTCCAGTATGATCTATTCACGAATCGATTCCGTGTCGCTCGCCGCCGTTTTTTTCCTCTTCCTCTTTTTCTTTTCTCAAGTTTTAGTTGACCAAATCCCAACCTAAACCAAGACCGCCTTTTTTTGGTTTCGAGTTCCAAAGGACCCAAGCAAACCCCTCCCCTCGCTTTCTGGGCGTCACACGCGCGACTCGGAGGTCTTCCGCGTCTTCGAGAGCCTCCGCCGCGCGCTGCCGAGCGGCTCGACGCCTTTGCGGCTGCAACTGGCGGTGGGGGCCAAGGCTGTGATGCAGGGGAGGGGAGGGGAGGGGACGGGACTGGCCTCATTGTTTTCGGTTGAAGGAAACAACCCCAGTTTCTGACTTTGATAACCCCAGAAAGAGTGAAAATAATGAATTTAGGGGATGGGGAGGGGGTGGGAAAGGACATGGCTGTGGTGGGTGTGGTGGTCAAAACCGTTTTGGGATCCTATTTGGTTGGTAGGTGAGTTGTGGTGCCCATTTTGGGGTAGCACCACCCACGTTAGAACCTATTTTAGTGGGGAGGGGAAAAGGACATGGGTGTGGCTCAAAATGAAACAGGAGGGGTTACGCAGGTTTCGGTCTATGTTCCCACTTACCAGAGTTCCATTGAATTCAACACCCATGTTAGAACCTATTTTAGTGGGGAGGGGAAAAGGACATGGCCATGGTGGTCAAAATCAAAAGCCCGGTTAGCCCCCTGTGAACATCCAAATCCAACCACTAAAAAAGGTACTAAAACTGTGGTGAAATCACCTACCAACCAAAATGGGATACCAAAACGGTTTTGAACCATGGCCCCACGGCTTAACGGGTGGTCAAAACCGGTTAAGTTCGGGATCACATTTTGGTTGAATTCACCCATGTTAGAACCGATTTTGGTTGGATTGAATCGGATCGGGCTGTTTGAAAAGCCCGGCCGGCCACATCTCAGATCCTTGCGAAAGGGATCCCTAGGCTTCAGAGGACGTGTTTGCCGCGATTTGGTGACCAATCGGGATGTGCGTGAGTGTGGTCAGGCAGTCTTAAGTTTGAGCGGAATGCGGAGGGGAATGCGGGGGGGGGGGGGCTCACCAAGCTCGGACATTGCTTTGTGTTTTGCGGCATGGTCTCGACCAAATGCCGAAGCTATTGAACAGACTTCGGCTTCCCCGTTTGCGTGGGACTTGGCAATTCAGCGCCAGAGGCGCGTCACCACCTTCCCTGGCGGCACTTGAATGGACCCAGCTGGACTCTACCCACTTCGAAAGCTTGATGTGAGTCATAACCAACACCTTTGCCTGAGGGCTTGAAGGCATGGCGCCACCAAAATGTGGGCTATGGATCCAGGAACATGGGGTAGATGTGTTTGAGGCCTTGAGGGTCTCCTTTTGGATAAGGCAAGCCAGCCCTCCCGGCCCTCTCGCCTCCCGGCCCTCCCGCCTGCCCATCCAGCCCTCGGCCAGGCGCTGGCGCAAGAGCGGCGGTTGTTGTTGGAGGCGCCGGACATCTTGGTCTGCACGCCTGGGCGCCTGGCAGAGCACTTCCTAGGCCGAGGCGCGACAATGGCCTACCTACGAAGGGGCTCCTATGCGACAGGGGACCTTTTTTTTCATTTTGGGGGAACACCACCTGAAGGCCATTATATAAAAGAAAACAACCCTTTTCGCCTCTTTTTTTGGGTTGTCTTTGTTTTTTCCTTTCGGCCGACATTTTGGTTTTTATTTGCCGGGTCGAAGTCTCCTTGCCTTTCCTAGGCCTGGTGGATTGAGAGGCGAGGGATTTGGACTGGTCATACTTTTCGCGGTTTTAATGACATCCGGGTCATAGGTTTTTATGAGGCTCTGGGTAGAATTGCTGCCCAGTCACATCTTGATTTCAGCCATACCTCAGAGCGGAGTTTGCTCAGTCGACAGTTATTCAAGTCTGATTGAGCCAACGCATCCACCGATTGTGAAGGCCGGACCACCCGCCCGCCCCATCCTGCTACCCTTGCTACCACAGACGCCACCCTCAAAACCCGCCAGACGCCTGCCTCGACTTCAGCAAGCTGCGCTGGTTCGTGGTGGACGAGGCGGACAGGCTCCTGACACAGACGCTAGGCATCCAATGGTTTCTGGGGGAGTTAGAAGCCGGAAGGCATTCTATACGAAACATTTTTAGACATCGCTGAAGCTCTTTCAAGCAGGTCCAAAATGAATTTCATTTCCCTACGCATCCTGCAAGGTTTCAAGGGACTCTGTGCTTTCTTGGGTTGTTCCAAGGCTTCGGTCAATTTGGCAGGGACATCCCTCAGTGTCCCACAGAAAACCAGGGCACGAACTCGAATCTTGCCATGCCCCCCAAGTCACAACGAATTTCGATTTGTCTACTACACAGGCCAGACAAAAGTTGCGCTTCTCGGACTGCACTGGTTGATTCGAGCCGCAGCTGACCGGATAGTTGAGACAGGCCCACTTGCTGCTTGGGGAATGAGTTGGAATGAGCCCAACAAAAAAGCACATCCAACTGGTTGTTTCCTAAGGGATCCCCTTCCGGCTCATTCCCAAACACCTGGAAATTTAAGAGCAAGTGTGGTAGGTGATCAGGAAGAGAGAAGTTCCAGGGTTTTACATAGTCGTTTTCAATGGATATAGTGGCAACTAGATTCAGATAAAGTATGTGAGGATCAGACAAAATGACCTGCTTCCCCAAAAACACAATGAACATCATTGGATAGCGTTTCTGGATTCTTTGTTAATGTTGAAACGCATGTGGAAACATGAACTGTGTTGGCAATGCTTGACCACAATGGCGCATGCCATTTTGGCTCAAGCTTTGCCCTGGGTTCTCTGAACCCAACTTGTGTGAAAAAATTGAGGTGAAACACTTCCGAACTAACCCCGAACCAGCAATGGCCTCCTCGGCAACCTCGGCAACTTCCTTCGAGCTGATTGAGGACCAGACGCTCACTGCGGAGGAGGTGGAAATGGCCAGCCAGGCGGCCCAGGAAATCCGCACACGCGAGGCGGCAGTGGCGGCCGGCCTGGTGTTGGACGAGCCCGAGGCCCCCCCGTCGGCTTCGGCCACCGACGTGATGAACGACCTCTCCAGTGCACTGGAGCGTCTCCGTGTGGCTTTCTCCACACCGACTTCCGGCTTGGGTGCCCCTGGCCCCGCCGATGAGGAGGACCAGGACATGGACGATGCGGACGCCACGGAGAAGGCTACTCCACCAACGAAGAGGCTGAAGGGTTTCGTGGCGGCTTCCCAGAAGACCTCGGCTCCGGTGAACAAACCGGTCTCCCTTGTGCCGGTGGAGGGCCGTCCTGGCTACTTCAAGTTAGTGGACCTCCCCGACCTCTTCCCGGTCCTTCCGGCATCGGCGGCCACGTTGCTGAGGGACGTCACGGTGGAGGAGGCGGTCTCCCTGTTCCACAAGTTTGTCGGGAAGAATCTCACGGAGGACTTGGTGATTCGCATCCTGGAGGCCTATGTTCCGATGAAGATCCAGATCCGGCAGGAGGAGGTCTGGGCCTCACAGTTCCAGAGGAACAAGGCGTGCATTGGCACCCAGCGGATGCACAGACTCGATGCCGGCCACTCAGACTACAAATTCATGTGCAAGGCGTGCGGCACGGGGTGGCCGGAGGCAGCCAATCAATGCTGGGTCTGCCCGGGCAAGGAGTTTGTCCTTTTCCAGGCACCCTCGGCTACCTACGAGAGGGACGGCGTCACTTACAACCTGCTCATTGTGGAGGGCAAGCCGACCTGGATGCAGCAGCGGGATGGGGGAAGCCTGGGTGCCACTGGCCCCGGTGGTACCCGGGCACAGGCAGACCGCAACCTGGTGGACGGCACGGTCCTGGGAAGAGCTCCTCCGAAAACGGACACGGCAGAGGAGATCACCATGGCAGACGTGGTCCCGCTTAACAGGCGGGTGGACATCCGGCAGGAGATCCTGTCCATGGAGGCGGACGACGAGTGAAGGTCCGGGAGCGCCAGGAGGTCAAGGTCAAAGTGCAGCGGTCCCTGCAGGAGGCAGAGGCTCAGAGCTTCCAGCTCTACCACCCCCAGGTGGACCGGCGATCCGGAAGAAGGAGGAGCTGCATAAGGCCTTGAGGGAGCACCGGGAGCCGACCCCGGAGGAGTCCTCGGCCAGGCGGCGGCACAAGGAGCTGGTCACGGATGAGATGCTGGACAATGAGATGGCTGTCCTGGCGCCTCTCCAGGAGGGCATGCAGGCCCTGCCGTCAGAGGAGGTGGCCAATGAGGGTCAGCAACCTGGAGCGATTCAAGGAGAGACCAGTACCTGGAGGGGAAGGGCGCTGGCTGAGGCAATGGGCTCCATCCAGGAGGCGCAGGAGGCGAACAAGCGCACCCAGGACACCAACCAGGCATGGATGCTCAGCCACACCCTCAAGCCCTTGGAAGTGTCGGCATGGCCGGATGATCTCAGGAAGGCTCTGGAGAGGGGGCTGTTCTGCCCCCTGGAGCTGGATGACCCCGAGGACATCCCCAACGTGGGGGACATCAAGGAGAAGTATGTCCCCTACATCCGGAGGCTCAGGGAGGCGCAGAACCCATGGAACCAGGAGGCGCTGCTGGAGGAGATGCCCGATCTGGCGACGCCGGCCCCCCCCAAGGGTGCCACTGGCCCGGAAAAGGCCAGTCAATGCCACCGCAGGACCTGGACTCGGAGGAGGGCAAGTTGTCCCTGCTCCTCTGGGCGATGAAGAGGCACCAAGGGGAGCTGCGGATGTTTGGGGGGATCTGGAAGAAGCACTCCAGCGGTGAGATCCCCAAGGGCGCGGACCAGCAATTCAAGCTCACGCCGGAGGAGCTCCTGGCCCTGGAGCGCAGGACGCACCCGCTCACGTGTGAGCGGGACCACATCGACCCAATCATCTACTCGGCCTTGGAGATCCGAGCGCAGGTGAACCGGGGCGAGCGCCCGGCGCCGGAGCAGGTGGTGGGGATCTTCTGGGCGAAGGGCGATGGAGTGTTTTGGACGAGGCAGACGAGAACGTGGGACCTGCCGAGCTTGACGGGGGTGTACGCCCACAGATTCACCTTCAAGTACATCTACTCGGCCTGGACCACATTCCCGCTGGTCGTGAAGACGCAGCGACGGGGCCGCAATGCGGAGGGCTCGGCCTCGGATAAGTGGATGGGCAACATCCTCCAGATGAGGAAGGAGGCGGTCCCCTTCCTGGAGAGCCTGGGAATCCCCAAGCCGAGCAACAAGGCGGAATGGAGCTACATCTTCAAGGAGATGGGGACGTTTCTGGCGGCCAAGAATTTCATCGTTAACTGCCCATTGCCGGTGATGGAGATCCCGGTTGCCCCCGTCCACGACAGCAAGGAGGCGTTGCGCTTCCGGGCGGTCTGTGACGAGCGAATCACCCTTCCGCTGTCATCGCTGAGGGCTTTCGACTCGGTGTACACCAAACTTGTGTCGGGCCTGAGTAAGTCCTCCATGGTGGAGGTCAAGGTCAACTGGCGTTGCAACGTGGTCCATGACTGGGTGGAGCAGGTCCCGCAGGAGGCGGCGGGGGCCCTGTACGACCGGCTGGGCTACTCCAAGGATCAGGCAGATGGGTTGCTCCCCTTTTTTGGGTGCCTCTGGTTCCGGGGGCGGAGCAGCTAAGGAATCAGACCCCAAGGCCAAGATTCTGGGGGGAGCGGACACCACGCTCCGCACGCCAGACCAGGGTACCAGGCAGTACCCTCCGATCACCGCGTCCACGGTCACGGCGGTTGCGGGCCGGAAGTACATCAACAAGCACTTCCCGAAGGAGACGAAGCACGTGTTTTGGGCCTCCGTGGAGTGCGGCCTGGTCCTGCCCAGCATCAGCGCATGGGAAGTGGTGGGCAAGGAGAAGTTCAAGACCACCGGCTACATGTGCAGGTTCTGCAAGGGCTTCTGGAGGGCGAGCCGTGGGGGGACCAGGCTACTCCAGATCACGGGGTGGCACAAGGACAAGGCCACATGCCTGCAGCTGGTGATGGACGAGCCCCCGGAGCAGCTATATAATCAGTGGATCCGGGACAGGATGGAGTTCTACAAGCGGGTGGAGCCGACGGAGCCACCCAGGGACGAGCGGCTAGTCCTTGGAGATGCGCACCCCGCGTATGCGATTCAGCTCCTCGAATGGCCTGGGGGATGTCTCCACTGCCTTGTGGTCGGTCATCTTGAGCAACCCGGAGAAGTCGGGGCTGGCGGCCATCCACTCGGTGGCAAAGGAGGCGATCTTGAGGGGTGAGAGCCGCTAGGTAGTGTCTCACAACCCTTTTGGATGTGGAGTCGTGTGATCTCTTCCCACCGGGATTTGGGTGCCTCTGGCCCCGTCTCGGTCTTTCACCTTGGTTTCCCCCCCTGTTCAACACACCACGACTGCCGGTTTGCCTCGATCGGGAGGCTGCACGCTTTGGCTGCCCCAAGGACGGGCCATACCGGCCACAGTTTGGAGAAAGTGGCTGCGGCTGACCCTGGGTTCCCTGAGGTCCCCTTGGGGGTTTTGGGGAATCCCCCGTCGGGTTGGTCTTCCCCCCCCTCCGTGGTTTTTTAGGGATTTCCGGGGGGTGGACTCTTGGGTCCTGTTGGGCTGCAGGCTGCCTGCCTGCCCCATTTGCACTCGGCATCCAGCGGGGTTGGAACATGCATGCAGTGTGCCGTGGTTGGGTCCCGGCCGCTCGATAGGAGGCTCAGGGTCTCTACAAAGTTTCTTTTGCGCCCGCCTTACACTCGCCTTTGGGACCGCATTCCAAGGGTCCTGTGGGACACGTTGGCGGATGAGTCCTTCTCCCCGAGACAGACGGACGGGGAGCTGCTGGTCCTGATGTGCCTGCGCCACGGCACGGCAGAGGAAGGGAGGGGAGCCGGCCATCCGCTTCGTTCAGCTCCTGGAACTCTCGGGCATTCCGGTGGGCCAAGATGACCAAGTGGTACCAACGGACTACTTCAACGGCCTGGTGGCGTCGGCGGCGGGCAGGCTTCCCCAGCCTTTGTCCGCGGCGGACCTGGCCGACCTTTGGGACAGCCTATGGTTCCTCCTCATGGCGGCCAAGCTGAGCGAGAACTTTTCCCCGCTGGAGAATGAATGGGACCGCCA